AATTAATGATAATTTTTCTCAGAAGAGATCTTAGAAGAAGCTTCTCAAACTATTACGAACCAACTTCTTAAACTGCCTTGCGTTGGTCATCGGTGAGCGATGACTTATCACGCTTCACGTACTACATTTATGACATACATATGTATGTACATACATATGTCCGCGGATGCCCGTGTACTTACAAGCTGCTCATGCAACAAGAGGCAATCGAGAGATCGGCCGATCTCTCGAGGACATCGGGCAAGAAACCACTGGTCGTTTCGCCAAAGAAGACATATATCAAGATACAGAGAGAACGACACATGAAAAATCATAGAAAAATTGCGATAGAAATGATAAGAAAGAAAAAGGCGATTGAGAATGATTCAGGAATGAAGGAAGAATTGGAGAGGACATTAACAGAAAATGATAATGTAAAAGAAACCTCTTTCTTTCGGCTGTTTATGCGTTCTCGAGAACAAAATAAGAAAAAAAATCACGTTGCAACGATAAGAAAAATAAATAATTAGTGAAAAAAATGCATTGCGGATAAGGAGCGGTCGAAAAGTAGTAAAGATAAGAGAAGGAAAAGATTAAGTGAAAAGAAAATTCAATAAAACAAATGATTAGCAAGTGCAACGAATGCAATGCATGTTATAGGTATGTATATCTCGCTCCGCGTGTACTTGGCGCGAGACACTACCGTGTCTCTTGATATCGCAGAGATTTCATATAATTTGTTTTTTGTTTTGTTTTGCAAAGTTCCTAGAGAAGCCAATCCATAAAAATCGGGATATTGTGGAATAAAAATTACATAATCTGACTAGTGATTTTGCAAAATCCTAGGTCCTATCAGTGAAACTGTGAGTTAACATTTTTATTAATTTATAAACATATTATATAAATACATATTATATAAATACATATTATATAAACACATTTATAAACATATTATATAAATTATATTTATATTAATAATTTTTTTATTCATTTCACAATATCCCGGTTTTTTGTGAATTCCCAAGGAATTTTGCAAGAAAAAGAATTATACGAAATCCCTGCGACATATATATTAACTAATATGCAAGCGCATTATAACAATAGTCGAGGATTAGAATACTATAAATAAAATTACACACATGTAAGTGAATTGCAAATAAAGAAAATTGATGAAGTAAGATGTAGATAGCGATTTGATCCAGCAGAAATCCTATCTAGTTATCGAAAGCAAAAAACAATCGGAATAAAATGCTTCTTAATCTTCTCCAAATTACACATAAATTAAAGGACATAATAAAATTTTAATTTATTTCAAAAATAAAGAGAAGAGATAAAAGTGGATCTAAATAAAAGAAGAAATAAGAAGAAGTGAAAGAAGAATAAGAAATGAGGAGATAAATAAAAGAAGATATAAAAATAGATTTTACATGCATCAACGTCATCGTCCCAAAACCAGACGAAGATTTTTCGCAAAGTAACGGAGATGAATGTAAAAAAAGGCAAGGGCGAAAATACATGCGGGAGAAAATTCGGACGTAACGGATTTTCAAAAAAAATTGTTTCCCGCAGCGGGGGCCAAGATGATCGGACGGAGAGACAAGAGGTCGTTCCCGATAACCCGTGTCGCGAATGCGATACCAGTTAGCCATTCTTCCTTTCGGCACACTTTCGACGCTATTTTCTATTTCAAATTCTATTCCAAGTGCTTCTGACGGCAACGGCAGCTTGGTAGCGACTGATACCAAAGACCTAACGCTTTCGAGTGCATCAGGTCGCGCGTGTAACGCATGGTACTCACGCACCGTACGTTAAGAGCGCCGCATTATTATCGCAAGTATATACGTACGCGTATTTCTTTCTCTTTCTTTCTTTTTTTTATTTTTTTTTTTTTTTTTCATTAAATCGTTCCGGCTGTTAATCTCACCGATATTGCTGGACAGTGGGCGTAACTTTTGAACTCTCGTTCGCGCCGTTTTGTTATCTGCGCAACGCTAAATATACTGCACACTTATTTTCGACTGTTGCAAGACTGCGGCGAGATCAGTTTAGGAAGCAAATCGTGCAACGTCGATCGCCGTGCTTCAACATCTACAATGGAAGATGCGGTGACTTGTAAAGGAACGTGTAGAAGCTATAGTTATAAGTGAATGCGATCTATGAATAGTATACAGCGGCTACATTTTTTTCGAGACGAAGAAATTAAATCAAGTATCTTGCAAGTCTCTTCTTTTTCCATTTTCTTTCTTTTAGGGGAAATTTATTCTTTGATAAAGTATTCTACTTCAATCATAAAAATATATTTCAAGAAAAATTTTTTGCAACCTATCTTTATAAGTTTTTTTTTCAATTTCAAGTGCAAAATGCTGTGGATATTTTCACGCCTTATAATGCAATTATCTATATGTGTAATAAAAAAAAAAGAAAGAATAACAAATTTATTTGCTTCTCCTTATCTTTCGCGCAGAAAATGAGCGAGCGATGCCTCATCGTTACGAGCGAGCCTACGGGCATTCGTAATTAGTAATCTGTCCGATGCGGACAACGAGTCCCCTGCAGGTCGATCTCGAATCTCACGTATCCCGGTTGCAGCGCAATGGAAAATAAAGCTACAATCGATGCGATATAGATAATAATAAGTCGACGCTTTATCGGAATGCCAGTGTCCATAATCGCGCGATACGCGATAATCGCCCACAATGCGGCCGGTGCGGTGTCGCGTCGGTGAACTCGCCCGTCGTGTGCTCGGGGCATATTACGCTTATAAAAATTCAGATTCGCCTAAGAAAGAAAGCACGCCAGTCTCGCGGTTAGCGAGACCACGATCGGTCTCCCTCGCCGATCCGAGTTCCTAAGCAGGTCGTTGATCTTATTTTGTTTCTTCCCCTTTCTCTCTCTTTTTTTTCTTTTTTCGTTTCTTTCTCTCTCTCTCTCTCTCTTTCTTTTTCTCTTTCTCTCTCCTCTCCCCTCTCTCTTTCTCTCTCTTTTCGCGAACACGGGGGCCTTAATAACAGGTTGCGGTTCTACCGCCACTATTACGTGCTTAGCGGCAAGTGGCTCGAAGACAGTTTCGCCCGAGGGACTCGTGCGGCGGCGGACCGTTTGGAGCTCCTTCTGCTCCTTAACAAGTGTATATTATGCATACGGAACGCATACAGGGTGTGCCCGAAAACAGAACGCGATATCCTTGACGACCTCCTTGATCTTCGGTCGTCGTCGTTGATTTTTAATTTCTGATGCACCTTAGAAGCAATCGATAATAAATCACGTCAGTTACTGTCAATTATTGTTATACTGTGTACCTTGCGTTATCGGACAACCGCGCTCTCTTATTCCTCTCATCCTGGCAATGATTAGTGACTGCAGGCATATAGTTTTGCAATAACTTATGCGGACACAGTGCGCAGGATTAATTGTTGGAATATTTATCGTCGCGTGTTATTTTTTAAGTTTTAAGCAACGGTAGTCTCGCCCAATTCAATTCCCGCAATGAGCAATTGCCTAGCAGAGGCTGGAAAAAAGAAATCTCAAGATCCAGACTCTGAGTTCTAAACATCTTTAGTATGTGCGTAAGATAAAGAGTATTTCAGAAATGAGGATGGCTAAAGTTGAACTCTACTTGTCGTAAAAATAAAGAAGGTTGAACATTTTCTTCGGAGTTCTATATTATTTCGCTCATGTATCACACAGATTTATGCCATTCTCTCCGATGTATGTATTATATATAGTTTTTTAATTTAAAAAGACATAAATAAAGGGATATGTAATTATGCATACAGCTGGCGATGCAGTTATACGGTACTCGTCGGATAAATCGTCGAGTTAACAGCCACGGATGTAGGATGTGAGAGCCAGTTATATAATTGTTACTTCGACGCTACTTAAGTTACCTAAGATCCTCATCAACGGCGATGATACGATGCAATTCAGTGTATGCACAATGTAAGAGCGTGTGTATGCACGAGAGTGCATGCCGGACGGATCGCCGAGTCGCTGAGGTTAATTTATTTTGACGTTACCAAGAAAAACATGATCGGTGTCATGTATGAAATATTACTCGCGGTAATTAATTCTGTGCGAACCGTGGCGCCTGACTGTGTGGCATGATCTTTGGGATAACGCTACCTTTTACTGAGATATGCACAACGAGTTTTTGCAGTCGTGCATCAGACTAAACATCTCGCAAAAAGGAAAACGAGGAAACGCGACACAGCACGTTGCGTTTGATAATTGATTGCGAAAGATTTTCAATACCATGCGCTCTGCGCTGCGAGAGAATAATTAATTAAATATCGTGCATAATGATATCTACTTTCCACGAATTTCAAAACTTAATGGTTTCGACATTTGATTTCAAAGCTTATTTTTTAAAGTTATATGTCATAAAAGTTCAAAATATGTATAATTAAATTAGTATTTTTTATTCTTCAATATTAATAGACTGATGGAAATATCTAAAATTTCTAATAAAACATAGACTGTTTAAAATATTAAAGTAAAGTCGTTTTCAAAAGGTTGAGGTCTTTAAACTTTTATTGAACTTGTTAGAAAAATCACAACTATAGAGAATCAAATCCGCGCTAATATTTTTCTCATAGAAATAAATAAGAATAAATTTCTAATAAGCAACTAAAATAATAAACTAAGTACAGGCTCTCCTGAATAAATCAAATAAGGAATAGTGAGAGAGGCAATAATATCGGAGCCACGCGCGGTATAATTATTGCGCAATCAATATATAGTCAATAAGATAAAATATATTGGTCAACATATAAAAAATATAAAATATATATAAAAAGTGCACAAAATTTCTTAAAAAAATTATCAAATTTAGCGATACAGAGCGTCCTCACGGAACTGAGACAAGCTACATCTCGGAAATGATAACGAAAATGTTACAAGAAATGTTACAAAATAAAGTGATACACGAGAGTTCTATCTCTGTCCCAGTTCCTCCCTCTCTCCCCCCGTGAGGCGGCACTCTGTATGCAAAAGGAAGAAGCCGGAAAGAAGACGAAACTTACGAGGCTGCGCCAAGGCAAAGACACTCTCCGTCTTCGCGGCGTATTCGTCGATCTCCTCGTGGTGCGTGATACCGGGCTCGAGAGGCTGCGGCTGGTCGGCCTGCATCCCGTACATGTCCATCAGCTTCGAGATCGGCGGGATCCTCGGCAGCGCCCGGCCGGTCATGTTCGGCGCCTGCTTCAGGCCGAGCTTGTTCAGGATCTGCTCCTTGATCGCTTCTAAACTGAGCGCGCGAATCTCCTCGTGCATCCTGCAGGCGTTGCAGGCGTTACCGGCCATCGCCAAGTGTCGGACGTGGGCTCTCTCGATGCCGGGCGCGTCGAAGGCACCGAGGAGGACCAGCGAGAGTAGTAGCAGCGCCCTCGTGACCATCTTGTTCAAGGTCGCCCTTGGTCGGATCCGAGCTCTACGATCGGCCTTCGTCGCGGAAAGGAAACGATCAGATGATCAATGGCATCGTCGTTCCCGCCAACCTCTTGTCTTCCCTCAAGATTTTAGAATTTTTCTTAATTTTCCTTAATAGAAGCGTTCTTCGTTAATATACCTAATAATTCCTACACTAGTATCTTCCCTTTCCGTCCCTATTACTTCTCCCCTTTCGTTGAATAGTCTCCCTGAAGATTGTAGAAAACCTTTTCTTTCTTCTTCAGTGTTCTTCTCTCTCAGTGCTTTCTCTTCTTCTACTTCTTTTCGCGTAGCTCCGGTCTCATCCGCGAAGAAAGTCTCTTTCTTCGTCGTTTATCTCGCAACGCCAGCTTCTTCCTGAACTTACGCAACCATACGTTCTCCACCTCCAGTAATCGCTCGGTCCCCTTATCGTGCCCTGAAGTCGGTATTCCGCCGGAACTGGGCGACCGGCCTCGATCACGATCGCGATCCGCACGATCCAGTTTCGCTTTCTTCCTTCCTATACGTCACGAATTTATTAACTCCGAGTGGAAAACTCGTGTCTCCTCCGATTACGCGGAAGATGCGATTAGGCCGAAAAAGAGGGAGAGAAAGAAAAAGAGAGGGGGGGAGGGGGAGGAAAAGAGGATCGTCAGTATGTTTTCCGAGCAGTCCGCTCCACTTTATGGGGTTCACCAAAACCGTTCTCACGCACACCAATCACCGCGAGAGAGAGAATCACAAGGCACTTGAGCGTCTCGGCGAGACTTCGTTCGAAGTGTCCCGGGCAATCATGCGACCGGCTGCATCTTCGTGACCTTCAGCCTTTAGCGCCAATCTGCACTTGCTCCGAGACGCGCGTTACTGCTCAGTGACAGAGCCTGTTCTCTATCAGACGCGCTCCGGACGTCATGGCGCCAAATCCGAACTGGTTACCTCGACCTTCGCCGGCAGGATCAACCTGGTCCTGTCTTCCCTCGCTCGTACTCGCGTGATCTTCTCGTCCTCTTCCTTCCTGTCCACTTCCGGTATTCTGAATTGGCTGACACCACCGGGTTATTACTACTGCGGGTACCAGTACTTTCGCGCTTTTCACCCTCGTTCAAGGACGCCGATCATTGAAATTCGACGAGATCCCGTGGAGAACAACTGTGGTGGACGATCGTCATGCGTGATGGTGTGGGCAGCGGCTCGGATGACGGATTGGTAGAACCCCGTGATGGATCTTAAGAGCTTGCCGGCCTGTCAAGCACTGAGACCTGAGGCGGGACTTCTCACCGCATATATGTCCGAGGTGGAGGCCTCCTCCTCTCTTCTTCTTCTTCTTTCTTCTTCCCTCTCCCTCTTTCTCTTTCTCTCTCTCCCTCTATCCTCACCGCTACCACGCTGTCTCCCTCCTTCGCGCGTTTATGGCGCGACGTCTTTCTCAGTCTCGGTGTTCTCTCCCGTAGTATCTTACGCACTCGCGTCGTAGGGGCCGAACGTATACCTACACCCGCTGCCAACGAATGCCCCCCTGCGCGTTCCTCCTCCCTCGATATTCCCCGCTCCCAACCCTTTCTGCTGCCGCCACCACCGCCGCCGCCGCCGTCAACCGCGAGTGCCGTTCCCCTCTGCCGCCCTTTCACGAACCCGCACTCCCGACCGTCGCACCCGGCGCGACTCGCCATACCCCACCGTTCCTCGTGTACGAACTCTTCCTCTCCCCCTGGTCGCGCGCTCGCCACCGCGATTCCCTCGCGTGTGGAGAGCGACGCTTTAGCTTCGCTTCTCCTCTACGCGCCGATTTGCAAATCGCCGGCCGGCGCGGCGAGTTCGTCAAAGTACCGGCTTTACAACAGTCGAAAGGGTCCGGGCACCAGTCAGCCGGCCGGCTACCCTCGATCACTTCTGGCGTCGATGTGTGACGACAGCAGCGGCGACGGCGGCGGCGGCAGCGGTGCTGGTATCAACGGGTTAAATCGTCACGATGAGAAATATCGCGATCACGCTTGTTTAACATTCCCTGATTAGCCCAAGGCTGAACAAGGTCGCGGTACCCTTTAAAAGAGAGGAATATTTCGAAACTCATTGATATCTCCTCCGATTGCTCCTCAAGGGGAAGGAACGTCATAAATAGAATTCGCAAATTAATACTTGGTTCATCTCAGTGACATTTAAGATATATTAATATTGTTTACGAGATTCCCGGTTTTCTGCGGACCTTCGACTTTAACGCAAACACTTAAAATTTTTATTTATTAGCTGGATCGGAGCGGATTAGGGGAGAGAAGACTCAAATAGCTTTCCCGGCGATAACTTTATTAACTCGTTTTATTCTTACTTAATCTTGTCTCGGACAGAGTCGATTCGAATCGACTCACGACTCACTTTTCTCGGTCGGGGTCAGGAAACGCTGAGAGAGGGGGCTTTGACACCTGTAAGACGTGTGTTTTTATTTGAACATTCGCAATGCTCCGCGGATTGTCTTTAGATTCCAAAACACCCCTTTCCGCCAATCGCTAACGAGAATCCAAAAAACGTCCAAATATTGGCAGAAATCAGATAACGGTGAAGAAATCTTCGAAAATGATATTGAAATTATCGGAACTTTCTATCTCACGTTAAGGAAAACGTGAATATCTATTGTATTATTATTATTATTCAATTGCCATTATTATAATACAATTGCTACCATAATCATTCTCTCGCCAATGTCGGAGGTCCTCGTGAGGCGTCAAATCAGAATAACAAGGAGCATGAAAGTGAAAAAAAAAATGCGAAAGTGCGTTCCCTGTCGGTCGCTAGCCGCACAGAAATGTTTTATGTATTGTTCGTGTCACGCCGCTAAACGAGAAACGATCGCGCTCTGTGCGAGACGCAATGTAATATTTTAAAGTGTTGAGACGGTAGAACATTGTCTTCTTGTCCAAGCCTTCTTATTCAAGCGACGATACAAGCAAGATTACAGCGAGCAAGATTGCGCTAACAATAAGTCGAAGATGCATTCGTCACAAATACTGATTGTGAGTTCAAAACGGATCTTCGCTTATGTAATTAGAAGGCCGGGTCTTTCTTAATCATAATCAAATAGCGCGACGCATTTGAAACAGAAATATGAAATTTTTAGAAAGGGAAATAAGAATTAAATAAAAGAAAATGAACAGCGTAATAAAAAATCTAATATACTAAAAATCTAAAATTAGTCATTATATTTGTTAGTGAACCTTCTAGAAAAAGAGTCTCGAAAATATTAGTAATCCTACTCTATATAACGAAAAATCGTAATTAACTATATTCTATCTATTTCAAAGATTTTTAAGTTACACTAGTCAATTCTCTCAATTAGTTCTGTCGATATTCAGTTATCCAAAGATAATTTTCTCTTAAGGGGCACTAAGTAAAATGTTTATTTAGGGTTACGATATCCAAATAATTTGATTACTTATAATCGTGATGAGTTATAACCCCAAAATGAGTTATAACCGTCTTTATTTTTCCCAGAGTAAAATTCTACGATAGCACTTGTGCAACACGTAACAGATCCGGCTACGAAATTTTTTTTGTTCCGTTTTTAAGCCACGCGCACGACCGAACGGCAAAAGATGGTATGCATCGCTCTTATCTTTTTTTCTCTCCTTCTATCTCTCTCTCTCTCTCTCTCTTTCTCCCCCTCTCGTGCTATATAAAACTTTTAAATTCGCCGTCGGTTGCACACGTCGCGCCGATATGTGCAATTTGTGCACGGATCTTGACCGTGCGGAGATCAATCGATCGAATCTTTTCATGGCTATCCCGAAATCGAGGGCACACGTCGCGGGAGCACGCCGATCGATTCGACGAGGGGCCCACACGTCGTCGATGCACGATAGCGCCAATATGATGGCGCGGCGGGAGGGGAAGCAGGGGGCATACGGGGGAAGATCGGGCCCGGTGAAGATCGCGAGATAGCCGCGCGACCGGGGCCCGCGGGTCCACCGGGCATTTGAAATCCAAATTGGATCTCAAAAGGATTCAAATCTCAAATGCGCGCAAATCGAAGATGCACCGTGGTCCTGTATTCTAAACGCTCTCGATCTTTTCGCATTCCGTATACAAATCTCCGCCGCGCCGCCGCCGCGAGCGAAACCGGCGGAGATTTCGGATAGGCGCGGCGCCGCCGCGCGCCGATTGCATTGGGGGAACGGAGCAGCGAATCGTCTCGTATCGTCCGAACCGCGCTATTGAGTAAGACAGATTTTTACATTGCAAAGGCGGGGGGCGGGGGGCGAGGGGGGAAAAGACATATTTTGAGCATCTTGACGATAAAAAATAAACCTCCTTCCCTCCAGGAAGAACTCCCTGAAAGGCCTTTTCGTGCTTTTGAAGAGATAGGAGCAGTTTAAATGTATATCCTAAAACACGTCGGAAGATGTAAGTTCGTTGTCAACGATAAACGTTGTCTGACCAATCGAACAATTGGGGAGAGAGAGAATACAAAGGGAGCTCAGGGCACGCATTTAACGGTAAAATGATTGATCTCTCGGTTAAAACCGTGAGATCTGTGCGCGCGTATGGCGACCGCCGGAAGGTGAATATAGCGAACAACACTCGGCTCATCGAAATCTCCGCGATATCTGTGCCTGTGTCCGGTAAAACGCATTCGATCGCTAGTGAAGTAATGAGTACCTTGATCGGCGACGGACTCTTTCATCATATCCGGTTAAAGTTGAACGACGGGTCACTCCCCTGCATTGTAACTGCACTACTGGAGAGGTGCATTATGTCGTTCAATAAAATTTTATAGGCGCCTGATCACACACTCCAATCTCCATATCTCGCCTACTTCTTTTCCCATCGCTTCTTCTCTGGAATCAATTACAATAATTTGCATCCTCGCGGGGAGAGAGATCGGGAACGGAATTGCTTATACCTTCGGCGAAGATATCTCGCTTTGATCTTTGCGATCGCGTGATTCTCCTTTTTTTGACGAGAGACTCCATCAGATCGCCGTTATCGATACCATCCGTATATGTCTTCCCCCTCTTTAGCTTCTTAATCTTTTTAAGGAACATGATAAACTAATACACGTTCTCTTTCTATGATAGCTAAACGTATGTAAGACGTGGAGAGAAAGATATTAGATAGATTTATTTAATTTCAGCTACAAAAAGCCAAGAAATGGACTTAGTTTACAATATACCTTAGACACACTTATACCAACTTTTTAACTTAACGCGTGCAACTGTTAATTCATTATTCCGTACTTTCTTAAATTTTTTAAGAAAAACCATCCCTTAAACCCTAAACGACTAAACTCATTATTTGCACGTTAAACTCACAACCTAAACTCAAATATTTGAACCTAGTCCGCTTCAGCAATAGGCCAAGAAACGGACATTATTCACCTATACACACACACGCATACCTTCATACAACAACGCGCAACAACTAATATATTAATATTCCATATATTTCTAAATTCTTCTCAAATCTCCTTTAAAATATTAGAGAGAAAGATATTGAAAATATACATATGTACAAATATTATATACATTGTAATTCGTTACTTCTGTAACTATTAATTTCTTTACTTGCGCACCACGTACCGCGGCCTGACTCGTATCGCCGTTTATTAATTTGTTGACATTCTGATATTGATTAATCAGAACTGAAACTTTGGCCATCATGTTTGATTAGCTGGTAATTTCTCGATATATTACAATACTGACGAGAGGGAGAGTTAAAAACAAGTTAATAACGTGCACTACATGAATTAATAATCTTCAGATCTGCTACAAATACACATAAACAAGTACACAAAGTGAGAATTTTTATGCGATAAGTTACTCAATCATAAAAATGTTGTCTTATATTGACTCAAAATAACTTTTTCTTTCTCGCATATAAAATTACAAATTAAACCGCATGATATCTTAATTATTGTGCAAACAAGACTATTTATAAGTAGTGTGATTCAACACGCTCAGTAGTTGAGTTACGTAACAAATTTTTGCTCCTCAATACAAGTTCGTGTTGAGAAGCAAAAATACAGTACTATAATTAATTAAAGTTTAATTGTAACGACATTTTTTATAAGAATTAAAAATTTATGACAAATAATGGTCTTTTATGTAAGATATTTGACAAGGAAAAATTAGCTTTCTATTTATCGGCAAATCGAAATTAAAAGTACATTTACTAGATTTAAAATATCTAATAATAGGCAACAATAAAAAATATAAAAAAAACAAAAATATTATTCGCATTATTTGAAGAAACTTACTATTTGCGTTATAGCGTTCGCCAAGCATTGAAGTCTTTCTCAGTCGCGGCGTTAGTTTATAATCTCTCTCTTTTCTTGATGATGAAAAGTGACGTATAATATTTACATAATAAATACAAATTTGAACATTTATTGTCATGCTCATAAATTATTGGATTTATTTTTTCGATTGAGTAAAATTGATGTATGTTATCTGACATCTCCTATTTATTGTATAATTGCACTTAATAATTGCTTAATCTTTCTTCATCGAAATAAAGTTATTGGGATTACGTTCCTTCCCAGTTACGCGTGCGTAATTTATCAGAAATAAGTCGAAGATCTTTTGTGACAATCCATCGCAAGGACAATATCAAGGGATTAGCCCCGAATAACAGCATATTATAGTAAATGCAATCATAAAAAGAGGCATAATTCCTGGTCTGTATGCACAGAAAAAAAAGTTTTAAATTAAAACTTATATAATCTTTTTATAAGAATGTCAATTTCTTATTTCAACTTTTTGTTCTTGGTTGAACTGTATAAAAAATGACTTTATTCAAGCAAGTTTTCTTCGTTTAACGCAATATATATCTTCTTTCAAGATTATAGATTCCTGTGTATATAAGAGTATGTATAAGTCTTAATTCGACACTTCTTTTTCGCCTGTATACAAGCCGTGTAATTCCACATGCGTATATACATGGCACATTGATTTTTCTTTATGCTTACGGTATCGATAATTGACGTAGCACAGTCACAACAAAAGCTTCTCGCCTCTCACGTCAAACTTGTCAATTATTATTCTACATTCACACGACAAAAAGCGAACTCACGTGAACAATTTCCATCCCATTCGCGCAGTAGAACTGGAAGCGTTCGCCAGAAATACTTGGAGCGAAATACTGGAGTCGCCATGAAGAAATATCTCTTGCTATCGGTGTAGTGAATGGATATCTCGTTCTCTTTCCCGCTATTTTAATTTCAACAATTTATTTTTAAATTACTATTTCACGAGTGTCACCATTCGATCTTGTCATCCGTTCCAATCCGACGATCGCATATAACGACCGTTGCAGATGATACTTCCATGCGTCGCAGCGGAGATGTGCATCAGACTTCTACGGAACAAAGCGGAATACCGGATATTACAGAAAAGACCGGGGCACGTTTCGCTTTGGAACGCGATCACGGGGGAATTCGAGCAGCTCGAGGCGCTAAAGTCGAACAACACCGCTTTCTGCAGCGTTAACGCAATAAACGATTTGCGCGGCAAGACCCTCGTCGTCGCCACGGATCTCGTGAGTACCGATTTCTTTTAACGCGATTTCTCATAAGATCGAACTAATTACTTTTAGATCTATCCATTTGTCATCGTAAACCTACACAAGAAAGAGGTCACAGGAATCGTAGGAGACATTTGGACGATCTTGGAAGAAACTTTAAAGTTCAAGTTAGTATTTCCTGCGTGCCAAAATGCATCGACAAGGAAAGTACCATTGTTCCAAGTATTTAGAATTATTTCCCTCAAAGGATCGAATGGTATATAATATATTTTTAAGAGAAACGCCGTGTTAAACAGTCAGAACTGGATCTTGGTTGTCTAATAATGTTATTAGTGTGAATTTGTGTACAATTCATTGCCCTATATAGCTAGCATATTAGCCTCAGCATACTGTCGTATTCCACTTAATTATTGTTGATATTATTTTTCATGATTCTAGTTTTATTTTAAATATTTTTCCGATTTAACGCGCGTTGACAGCAGGGAGAAGTATAGACTTTCCCGCTTCGCTGATTCAGAGTGCAGGGTGATTTACGGTCGATGCAAGTAACCTTGGCAGCGGATTTGCAAAGTATTTCGGCGGGGTTCCCGTATAAATATAGATTCCTGATAGTCATTGAGAGTTAGATACCTACGTTTCTCGATGCGGGACTCCGCGCGCAAAATTAACTCTAAACGCCAGCAGAGCGAACTACTTCCTCCCTTCTCGCCAGCCGTCGTGCCACGGCCGTGGAGCGGCGGCCGTAATACCCGTCCTGACTGGCTATTTACACGAACAATTTTCATGGCGACGCTTCTTCAAAGGGGTATACGTGTGACGAAGCCGTATACGTAGAACCTGCCCAATTTTCCGCGTACCACCCACACCCACGCCGCCGCGCCGGTGTGGGTCAAAATACTCGCATGATTCATTCGTCTAGACAGGTATAAGTATAGTATCAGGATGGGTAGATGGGCAATGGGGTAGGGAGAGGGACAAGGGATACGTAGCCTCTGTGGCGGCGACGGCGACGACGGCGGTGGCGGCCGGCGTAGACGGCGAGCGAGGGGGGCCGGGGGTGTGTTGGACGTGCGAGTTGCGCGGCACCGTAATAAAGGCGTCTTTTCGACGAAAATGCAGGACGATTTACCGAAGAGCGGGACGGTCGATCAACGCGACGCTGATGAATGGAGATACTCACGCACTGCTGAGCCCCACGGCGATGCATATGTACGCCACGACCCATTACGCCTACAGCGTACCGTTCACGACCAACTCGTAAGTCGAACTCCTGTTATTTGCATATTAACCCCCTTTCGTCCCTCCCCCCCTTTTTTTTAACGCAGCGCGCACTTCTCCAGGAGCGCGCGTGAGAGGCGACGTGTAGCTCCTTATCGCGGGCTTTCGCCCGCTCGCGCGCGCGCGCTCGATGAAAGCTTTTTCTTTCAGCTGGTGTGGTTTTAACGCCGGTCATTAACCCGTTCCGGTTAGGCACCGGCCTATCGGGATATATACACTCCCGCGAGATTGTATCTCGGCTAATAACTTTCCGATTTCGCTTTCGCAATTTCTCTCCACCGGTGCGTGGGTGCCGGTTGTTCCGCGGGGGAGGAAAGAAGCGGAAGGGGAGCACGAAGATAAGTCTTCCGATCGATCGTTATCGGGAGGAAACTTCTTTATCGCGCACGCGGCAAGCGTGCGCGATGGGTATATGTACAATTGCGATTGGAACACTATATCGCGAGGTAGAATCCAACGCGATCTCGTTACATTTAAAAAAAGAGAAGAAGTTCCGTTCGCATCTGTCTTCGGTTAAATTTTCGAGAACTATGACTTTTCAAATTTCTAATTGGATACGGTGATGAATGGATCAAGTCGTTTTTATTTATTGCTGTTGCAAATTATATTTCCCATCTTCAGATACGCTCTATTTGTTCGATCGGACGCGGACGGTGCGATTGACACAAAGTGGTGGTACATCAATACCTTCAGCCGCGACTTATGGCTGGCGTTTTCTATAACCATCGTATGTATCGCATGTAGCATCGTGGGAGTATATCGTGTAAAAAAGCTCGTGCATGTTCACTACGAGGAATGCGATGACGAGCTGTCCTCGCTGTCTTTCAATCTTCTTCACGTTTTGGGTTTTGGTCAAGGTAAAACGCATGAAATGCGAAACAAATGGATAAGATAAGAAACAACGAGATAACAGATAAGACACCTCTTAATGTGATAAAAATATTGCAATATAAAAAATAACGTGTAAGATACACAATAATTATTTTTTTTTTTTGAGAGATTGGTTTTTGTGATACTCTTGCAGTTCTTTGTCTTTACGCAGATAATTTTACTTTGCATTGTATACGAAGACAGATGAAAGTTTCGGCGTAGAAGAAAGTTTGAAAGATATTAATGATTTGTTATGCACAGGATTTCAGAAAATACCGAAAAGCTTGTCGCTCCGATTAATAATCTTGTCCTCTCTGGTGATGGGAATGTTGATGACATGCGGATTCAGCAGCAATCTCGCTTCTTGCCTGGCGAATAAAGGAAACTCCGTTTCCCTGACTAATCTCGAAGACGTGGCGAAGAAAAGGACGCACTCGCTTTGTATTAGGAACGACAGCACCGCATATGTCCACTTTACCGTGGTAAAAATAGAAACAAAGAAAATGTATAAATACAACGCAAACCGCTGCGGTTTCAGTTAGGAAATATGCTCTCTTAAAATCCTGGAAAATACGCTTTCTCATATTCAAACTGAGACAAAAGTAACAATATTTTTCGATTTATGTCATTAATCTATTTTAATGTACGAGATGTCTAATACAAGAAAATGTGCCGAATGATAGCCTCGGGATGCAGTTTAGAAAATCCAAAATGATCAGAAGAATCAGAGGACGATAATATTAGTTGAAGATAATTCAAATACTGTGTATGAACATCCGATTATCTTTCTTTTTTATTTCTTTCTTTCCAATCGCTCTTGCTTTAGGCTCGAAGATTGCTCGTAGTACGATGCGATCGTTGTATCAACCGCGACGTCACGGTTCGATATTCGATTGAACTTGAGTAAAATAAGAGAAATATCACGTGTGGAGGGAATTAAATAAAATAATAATTAAAACAATATAAAACAGGATGGATTGCCGGAAAGCGAGCTTCAGGCCAAGTGGAAAAAGTTATTGAATCGTCACTGTCCCGACATGAGTGACACCGAGGCTCTCGCGTCGAAATTGTGCCGTCGCGGTTTCGCCTACTTGGAGGCACCGGCCATATTTCTACCGATTTATCGCAAAGTTCAGCACGAGTGTGACATCGTACAACTGCCTGACGATTACTGGAGTCTGAGACTGACGTTTCTGCACGCCAGAGCGGCGCGACACCGTAAACTCATTGATAGTTAGTAAGTATCGCTTTTGTTGACTTCAGTCGCGATGCACGTGCTCGATTATAGCTTGACTTGTTTACTTAATTGATTAAATTAAAATAAAAACTCCATTTGCATGTCAAAATGATGTCAATTGATAATATTTCAGAAAAAACATTAATTCATTTATTCAAATTTAAGGACTTATTGGTCATTTATGTTAAAATTGTTTAATTAATACTTACCATTAATTTATTATTCATATATAATAAATATCATATAATAAGAGCTTGTGTTATAGTCGGAACATAAAAATATGCAAAATATGCTCGGAATAAAATTCCAAGTTTCAATCTATTAATCATACAATTCTCCTCTGTTTTATTCTTAATTTAATTGAGAAATATTTGCGATTTTCGTACAGTTTGATGCGTATGCGTTCGGTTGGGATAATGAATTATCTTGAGAAGAAGTGGATCTCACAACGAATTTATAGTGAATCCAATTATCGTCAATCGAACAGTTTCCAACCGGTGGAATACATGCACGTTCGTTTAACTAACATGTTCTTCTTCACGACGATGATTATCAGCGTGCTCATCTGCATTTTGGAAAACATCTGGTATAAACTACAACACACGCGGAAATTCAAGAAGAACATTTCTAATTCGATATTACTGGGAACAGGTGATAACAATTTGAACATAACGAAGAGTTACAAAATAAGATCGCGACGCAAATGGCATCGGAAATTCAACTCGATATTGTTATCGGAAAGTATAAAGAATCCAAAATTTCTTCGGAACGTCACAGTACGAATTAACCGATGGTGAATATAATTAACATTTGCAGCTATAAATGTATAAATCCAAGAATGTCGAAATCAATATTATCTCCGCGCTTTCAACAAACAAGATAAATCATATGAGATCGATGTCCTTTAGCATTTTGAAAATTATATATACACTTGATAAAAATATTATGTCACACGGTATCATTTACCTTGTTAATTATTCTTTTACATATGCTTTCCTAATTATGCTTTTAATTTGGAAGAAAATTTGTATTAAGAATATCTCTTAGAAATCTTCATTAAAAGAATAAATATCATTTTGAAACATTATATTACACGAATTTCAATAAAAAAGAAAATAATGCAAAAAATATAATCAGAATATAATGCCAGCAGTGAGCGTGAAGGCTCCGTTTCTTTAATTTTGATTTAATAATAATAATAATATGTATATAAGCATAGTACATAATATACAGAAAAATAATCGTGGCGAACATCGTCATTGACCGACAGTACACTTTTTTCTGCGTTACACAAAACCACGATGCGAATTGCATTTTCACAAATACAACGCGCAACAATATCTCATAATCGCAGAAATCGATGCTCCTCTCATTACAAGACATTATTCACAATTATAAACAACAGACATTTACAAATGCATTATGCATCGGCGTCATATATTTAAGGCCTATATGGATCTTACATTACAATTAAAGAAACTTTGGCTTTTTTTTTTTTTAAATGTATTTCGCCACCTATGACCCTCCAAGAGGGAGATGTGGAAGCGAGAGAGAAGGAGAATGGAGCAATTCCTAACAAGGATTCGTAGATTTTCGAATGCATCACGGTACTTCTCAGAGTTTTCCCGCGTTATCGTCGATTTCTCAAATCTGACGAGTTTAACACTAATACCCTAGATTTAATCCTAGATATCCGAAAGATCTTAGCAGCTTTCTATCTTGTGAGATATCACACTCTCTCGAGCATAAAAATGTATTAATGCATTTGATTATTTTCCGTCTTAAGATACTTCTTAGAGAATCCGATCAACTAAATCCCTTATCTCTTTGCTCAGTATAGGAAAAATAAAATGAGAAATGTATTTGTGGCAATTGTGATTTCAGTACGTAATTTTATGGAAATGTATAGGGCTTTTCTAGGATTAACGTTACGACATTCCGACGAGAATAACATTTCCGCAATGTTTAACGGCGCAACTTAAAACGAAGTTAAGCGTAATCGTGTTTAATTATAGTGTTGTTAATATCCTCTTTTCGCCCTGTCGCAGCTTATACGAATGTCGCGGTAATTATTGGGATCGTAAGACCTTAAATAAATTGGTTATACGTGCATGGATAATAAGTGTATCTTATTTAATGTACAATGAAAGATTTGGCTACCTATAACACTCTCTTTCCTCGTACGAAACGACGCTGCACGGATTCGTAAGTATTTATTTTCACTCCACACAATAAAAAAAGATCGGATTTTGATTGGCATCTCTTTCGAATCGTGCAAAACTCACCCGAGAGCTGCAATATTCGTTACATTCACAGCATAATCGGAGCCTTTCGCAATAACTGGGAATAAAATTTACATACAAAAACACGTTAGGTTGCATAGAAAAAACAGTAATCATTAACAAAATGTCGTATTTCTCTTAATAATTTTTAAATTTCTTATAATTTATTATTTTTGGAAAAATGATACGAAGGATAAGCTAAGAATATCAAATTACTTTCTTTCATTATTTAGCAACTAGACAATTTATAATTATGCCATTAATTTTAATACAATATTCCTGAAAAAATGAAGATATTAAGAGAGAAATAGGAGAAAATTCATTTCTGCAAAACTGGATAAAATTTGGATAATTTATAACTTTGCAGAACGTATCCTCATCGATTTTTGGATACGCAATTTTTGCATGAGTATTTTTTTTACACCTCGCAAATTCTCATTCTTGTATATAGTTTTGAAGTCTGCTTTGCATTAAAAGATACAAAATTCTTTATCTCGGCGATCATCTCTTTTATTATATGAAGAAATAAAATTATTAATAGTCCCTATATTATCTACACTGCTAAAATATGTTCGCTATCGACTTCACCCCTCGTCTAGCAACGAAAGATTTGCAACGAAACTTTAGCACTTTGAGTTGACTCCATCGCAGCTGGCCATCGCGCTGAGATTTTCATTTCCTATTAATTACAATGGTAAAATTAATGCTAACAAGCAAAGGTCTATACGCCCTTCTTGTGATAGATGCATAAGCTTTTCGATCTAGAAATCACATTATTTACAAACATGCCACTCAATCTTCGTCAATAAAGCGTCGTAAACTTCTGCACGTACAATTATTATACGCAATATTTTAAGACTATAATACAATGCAACTCAAAACGAAGAAAAAGTACATGTAAGAATTACACTTTGACAATCCTGCGTTAGGCATGAGATCACACACCGTCTCGCAAACATATTTATGCAAGTACTGTCGGTAGCACCGTAATCTCATAAAAAGTATAATAATATTCAAATTAAATTAAAAGCCATTAATTTCTGCAAAATAAAATATCCAATCTATGATGTCGGAAATCACATGTGAGATTTTCTTTTACAGCCTCTTCAATGCCAGAGGAAATTCTAAAGACAACTTTTGATTTAAATGATTAAGTATCCATATAGCTTCGCGAAATAGAATCTTTCCAAGTCTATACTGCTTTTTTTCAGCTAATTGCAAGTCATTTTTTTCGGATACGTTTTTCCATCAGACGGGAAAAGTCTCCGATTCGCTTGAATGCCAAGTGTGTGCTAGGTGGCACGGTCTAGCTAAAAGTAAGTAGTTTTTATAAAATAAACTTTTTACTAGCATAAGACGGCTAATGGCTTCTACGGAACTTATGACATTAAAAATGCGTATGGTGATACTTCGCACGATCTAAGTAACTTGTATAAGTCTTGACTTGCTGACAGAGAATTCAGTGTGAATTGTTAATTCCAAGATTTAGATATTTAGAAAACAAAAAATAATAATAATAGAGAAGCTTGAAGAATAATCATCGCTTTGAGAAAGCCAATTAAAAATTGGTCAATAAATTTCCTCAGCTGAAAGAAGGTGCCAACGTTTCCTGATAATTGTTTTCGAGCTCGCACGTTTGAGAGTTGTGTGGCAAAACCATACGCTGACAAGAGAGACGTGTGTGAAATTTAAAACGGCTATCCTCACGGTAAATATTGATATGTAAAGGAATTAAAAAATGCACAGTCCGATGCCCGGAGCAAGTCCCATATATGTTCCACGTGTCTCTCGTTACGCGACCGGCGTAACGTGGAAGCCTCGTCGACGGTCTCCCCGAAGCGACGCCGAAAATCACGTTCAACCGAACTGTCCTCGATGAATCAGTCGGGTTACACATGAGGCGTTACCACACTTCGCACTTATGTACGGGATTCATCTTCGAGTCCTTAGGACAGTTGAACTCCGTCGAGAATTCTGGCATATTCGAAAGTGGTCCTATCACCCGGTACTTCGGTGGACTGTGAGTATCCTTCTCGATCTGAAGAGTTACCGTCTCGGACGTTATGGAGGAGCACCAAATCTGTGGACAATTCTCCCGTGATTAAAGCGACCATCGATGCTTCGCATCTTCATGAAAATTATTAAATTATAAAAGTAAAAGAGAGAGTAAAAATTTCTTCGTTGATTTAATATCAGTCAATAACATCGTTATCGATAATAACCTGAGCAAAATTTAGGAAAAATAGTTGACGATGCGTCAGATTGAGACCGGGTAGCGGCAGTTGATCCTTGTAGCTCTTAGTCATCGAGAGATAAGCGTGATACGCTGCCCTAAGGCCCCCGTTGTCGGCGATATTCTCTCCTGTGTATCACAATCGATTGGTCTAAATTCTAATACTTCCGGTATAAGCAATTATTTGTAATCAATAAAATTACCCAGCGTCTGTCGGCCATTTATATTTCGACCTTGTACTTGATATTGGTTATATTGTTCCACGAAGCATTCGGTTCTATTTTTAAATCGCTCCACCGTAGCGTCGTTCCACCAGTGGTGCAGATTTCCATGCAAGTCGTACTCTCGACCTGTCCGATATTAATCAAATACGTAACTAGCGTGTAGGTAAAATTGTTTTTAAATAAATGAATGAGTAGAATAAATACGAAGTATGAAGAAAATTATTGGAAACATTTTTATCAATATACGAGCGTGTGAAAATCTTTATATATAATACATAAATATAAAATATTCCAAGATATTTTCAATACTCATTTTTAAATATAGATTTGAATATACATTTACTTCGATTTGAAGTAAATTTTTTCTTATAATAATTATATAATTGACTTTATTACATATCAAATGAATAATATATCTTGTTCTCTACTATAAGATTATAAGAATTTAACTAACTTTATCTTTAAAAATCATACCTTGGTCATCGAAAGCGTGCGTTAATTCGTGCCCCATAACTACGCCTACGCCGCCGAAGTTCAAGCTATAGGGATTCTTCATATCGTAGAACGGGCTCTGAAGAATACCGGCGGGGAAGACCATTTGATTTTTGGTAGGCGTGTAATAAGCGTTCACGGCCGGCGGTGTCATTATCCAAGTGGTCTTATTCACCACCTGATCGAGCTTCTCGAGATTTTTACGGAAACTGTACTTGTTCACGCGCAATGTGTTCTGGAAATATTCGTTTTGTTTAATCGACAAGTCCCTATAACGCTCGTCGAGTTCGCTGGCCTGCAGAATGAAGTCCGGGAAGCCGATCATGTCGGTGATCGCGTTTGCTTTCTCCTCGGCGGCGTTTCTCGTCTCTGCGTCCATCCAGTTTAGATTCTTAAAGTTTTTCGTGAACGCCTTGCGAATATGATTGATCATTTCCTCCGCCTGGAAACAACAATTGAAAGAAATTGAAATATTATTCTGCAAATTAGAAAACGTATCTCGAGTCATAAATTTATAATATTAAATTGTCTTAGCGTCTCTAAAATAAGAAATAATAATTCGTCGTTTTAGACGAATCTAAATATATATTACATAATATTAAATATATAATAATTTAATATATGTATTTAATATATATTTAATTATCTTAACATCTCTGAAATAAAGTGATTTAATATTGTAATTTATAAGATACGTTTTCTAAAAATAGGTACATATTAAAAATACAATTTTCTTAAATCGGGACACAAATACAAACTAACCATAGGTTTACTCTTGCCTTGAAAAACCTCTCTGACGAACATCGCGCCAATGGCGAAACCCATGGCGTTATTAACATCATTAACGCAATAACGCCACTGCTCTTCGTGGCCTTCCATACCGAGCAAAGCTTTCCGCAAGCCCTTGTAAGCTTCGCGAAACGGCTTCGAGAGAAACGCCGTCAAGGACCTCACGGTCTGCCAAACCAGATAGTTATTCAATATTCTGCGGAAAGAAAAAGAGATGGAGAAAAAGATTGATGGAATGATTTTATGAATACACACAACGTGATTCAGAAATTGCGCACGAAATTGTCAAAACGCCGTTTCTTGATAAACTTCGTGTGTTCGACATTTCATCGATAGAAATTATATTTAAACAAGTTTACTTGTAATAGTTTTTGTTAAACATATCTCAATTTTAGGAATCTCCCATGCAGCGATGGAACATAAAGATAAAAATTCGTTAAGATAAAATTATATTTTAATCAATTAAATGAAAAAATTATTATATAAATCAATTTGGTTTTCAACATCCACGCTTCGAAGCAAGTGCGCCATATCCGATGCACCTCGCAAATATACGTACATCTTTCCGGAAGTTGTCCTGTTATATTCCTGCACGACTTTCGTCAAATTTCCGAAATACTCCGGTGCAAAATTTACGATCATAGCTTTACTATTGATCTTCTTGTTTACGAGACGCGTGGCATTTTGGAAGAATTCCACCCACGACATCTAAACACATAGAGAAATTGCGTTTATCATATTTTGTCGATATTCTTTACTCGTAAAAGAGTAATCGGCTCTATTTGGAAAAGCATCCACAAATTCATATTTTTAAAAGGATGTGATAAAATATAACATGGTAATATGATAGAATGGTATAGAAAATGGGCTGATAACATATAGGATATGCTAGTAGGATGTGGTGGAATATCATAATAGGATATGATAGGAGGATATACAGGAAATCATATTAGAACGTGGCCACGCTATCAGGATGCAAGATAATATATCAAATTATTGAAGGACGTGTTGCAACAACGGAAAATTACAGAGGTTGTATTCGCAATAATTGCGAAATATTACCAGTAATCGAAATATATGATAGAATTAAAGACGGCAAACGTACGAAAGGTGCTTTTTTTTGCAAGTCATTCAACGACATTAGATTGTACATCTTCTCCTCGTCCCTGCGTTCCTCGGGCGGTATAGTGATCTCCGCGAGCCTAGTCTCGAAGGCGATTACATCCTGCATCTGTTTCTTCGTTGTATTCTCTTCGCCACCTAAGAGCACGCCGATCTGAAAACGTGCACGAGTACCTGTACTCGATATTCGCCCTCGAGGAAATGCGACGCGAATAAATGTTCGTGAGTACTTATTAATTTTGTACCTTCGTCATGTAGTCCAAATAGGCGGTTAGGACCTTGCCGTGCTCGGATACGTTGAGGTAATTGTCCGCAGTTGGTAGTGTTAAACCTCCTTGATCAATCTTGAAAAAATAAAAGATGTAAGTATATGTAAATATATGTTAACTGGCATTACAATAATACCAAAAAATTTTATATTTTATTAACGCAAAGAAATTTTTCTGCTATTATGTAATTCTACCTTTCTTAGATAAAATAAATCAATTTTTATCATATAAAAAATTAATATAATTTTATTACTAAGTGAATTTAATTATATTAAATTATTGAAATTTATTATTAAATTAATATTAGAAATTAATATTATTTAATTAATATAAAAAACTACAACTTTTATAAAAATTCCATTACATATTTACTCGTCAAAAAGATATAACGTATTTCTCTTGACATGAGACATGAGTTTCACATTAACTCAATTCACTGCTCTGCTCTAATTACCTACGCGCTACTACTACAACGATAATAGCAGGAACAAAAATTCTAATTATCACAATTATTATAATTAAAGCAAGGTTTGCATATAGAGAAAATGACAATAATCGATTTATTTATTGTCTAATACCCATTTAGACGATCTATAATTCGCGTCAGAATTTATGAGAGAGAGAATTGTGCATTCCAATATTCCTCTTTCTCACAAACACACACACATACATTCTTAGTCTAATCTACTGTAATCCGCTTATACCTGGATTATGTATCTAGTGCTGTTTCTGTCGTCCTCGCTCACTCCCCAAGAGAATAAACCGCCCATGTTATAAACGTTTTGCAGAACGTGCATGCTGTTTTGCAGGGACCACGCGCTGATGTTGAATTTGCCAGAGATGTTCCAGCCGCCGATATTTTCCAACAGTTCCAACATCGGCTTCGCCCCGAGCGTCTCGATCGTCTCGTTCGCGTCCATGCAGGACAGATAATAATACTTGGCCTTCTTCTCGGCTTTTGATTTCATCTCGCTAAGCGGTTTTTCTGCGCGGAAAAATGAAACGACAAACTTAATAGATATTTACATAAACGTTTGTCTCAGGCTCGTCAATTATGCTCATTTACGAATCATTACCGAGAACATTCTTGACGACTAGTTGATTATCCTGCTCCAGCTTGCCGAACGTACCCCAAACGTTTCTCCCATCCGGAATGGGATTTTTCTTTTTCCAGCCGCCGCATGCGTATTCGTAGAAATCGTCGCACGGATCGACGGAATTATCTATACTATTAATTAAGGAAGCCGCCACTGTTACGCATTGTTCCGTGAGACAATGCGTGCCATCTGCAACAATTCGTAAGCAGGAAACTGAATGAACTAATGTCGACGTTAATTAGAATTAAATGTTGTTAATAGTTGTGATAAGTGTTCTTCAATTACGCTATAAATAAAAGTACCATCAGGGTAAAACAAATATCCAGGATAAAAAAAAACCGCTGATTGCGTATAACGGATTGTATTAATAGGCACATGATTTACAAAGAAAGGAAATTTGCGTCAAATAAAACGCGAAACCAATACAAAAATATATAATAATTTAAATTGCCGCAAACCGAGGTCTTAATTGTTATATGAAGTAATCATGATGACTTTTTTTACCTTCTCCGTGAGAGGTGACGTGAAGAATCTGGGCCTCGTCCCAACCATTTTTGCTGCTGATTACAATGGCGAGTACCACGATCGTTAGCAGCAAAACGGCACAAATTATAAGAAGGCATCTCTCCAAAATACTTCTCGCCTTCCACATCGTTGTACCCTACGACAACAAAATCGTATCGATCAATACTGCAAAGTGTTCAAAGCCGTCGCATCTCATTATTGATTTAGAACTATAATACCGAAGCGATAATTTTTCTAAAATATTTTTTTCAAGGAATATAAAAATGTAAGAATGTTCGTATTACAAATAAAACTACTGTACTTCTTTTGGGCAGCGTATCTATGTTATTATTGCCGTTGTTATTAATAACATAAATACATTCTTGACTGAATGCGTGAGCTCGATAAAAATTAAGCTTAATTTCACTTTCAAGACTGCCTTTGCAATTTAAATTATTTGGAAACTTAATATTGGGAAACGTACGCTCACCGTATGGTATCTTATATGCGTGGCGGATGTGCTGATGCCTTCGCTATTTAGGGCGACGGAGCCGATGCTGCTGCTGTCTTCATCCTCGAATTCGGCCTGTTTGTACCTCGTCATCTGAACAATTACGTTAGAAATAAATTTCGCGCGCAGAAAGATTTTTCGACGTCAGATTAAGGCAATTGAAGCAATATTTAAACTGAATGTAACGAGCTGCCGATATACGTGCGGCTCGTACGCTGCATCGCGTAGATTTATAAATAACAAATAAAACGTTTGCACACGACTTGCGCGTCGAAAAATCGGGCACGGTTTTATTGGGATTATTACGAAAAAGTAAACATTGACGACGCGAATCGCGATGGATTTCGAAAAAGTTCAATATTTTCTTTGCCACTGTGATTTTCGCAAACAAAGATAAAGTGAGATTTGCCACTCGCGTATGTTTAAGATAAGACAGTTAGTTAGCTATGTCGCATGCGACCGTGTGTAACTTCGCTCCTCTCGTTAGTTGATTAAATAACGACGACGTTGATACGGTTTAAGAGCTTTTTATCATAAGGCTTGATAATATAGATATGTCATCACTTCATATAACAAAAATATGGATTTATTTATTTCTTCCGTATTCACGTTAAAAAAAAACAGATATTACAAATTTATTAATGATCAAAAGAAACGAAAGAAGTCATGTTCATAATAATTATGGCATGGCATCTTATTCATGTCGTCTCATAGGTACTATTTCATCGCTAACATTATACTTAAATTGCTTTTTTGATAAGATATGTGTCATCTTTCACCTCCAAAATTATTGATAATATTTACATAAAATTCATTAGCATATCATTATAACGCAACTCTCTTTTATGCAATGTAAAATAATAGCTGCGAAACATTAACATATTAGAAATTCCAGAAACTCTGACATTAATTTTGATAGATTTTTTAAGCAAATTTATAAGCATTTTTTTCCCGCGCCGTATTTCGTGTGGAAGGCCATTTGTTATAAAATCTCTTAGTATGTAAATTTTAAATTCAGATTTTGAAAAAAAAAATCTAATTTGATTAAAGTAAAAAGCAATAAAAATTAATTTCAATAATTACTTTTCATTTCTGATGTAATTACATATATACATGTATCAGAAAGGTAAAGAGTTAAAATGTTGAAATGTTTGGTAATTATCTGCATCTTTTATTTAAAAAAATAGAAATTCGTCAAATAGAGCAAAGAATCTGTTTATGATTAGAAATATGTTTTACGCCACGATTTTGAAATTCACAAATCTTGAGTAAAGCATTTCGGACTATGTGTCTTATCCTTCTTTTTCTTAACGAAATAATCTGAGAATGTGTGTCGATCAGTAGGACTCACCGCGAAAAATTTTCATGGAAGACACGGCTTCCGCGGAAGAGACACGCTTTATGTTCGTATCTCGCTGATCCCCATCTGCATAGCAGATGTTTTGTTTTTGTGGCACAGTTTGTCGAGTGGAAGTACAATATAGGCGCAATAAGTTTCAATTTAAACGTTGAAACACAGATATCAGCGTTCACATGCAAAATGATACTCGTGGAGCTACACTACATCGCGGTGGAAATGAAATCCACGGAATGTGTCAGTTGCAAATACCCTCTGGAGTAGCGCAGCGGGTCACCGTTCTCTAATCAATTCAATTCCATTTAATCCTGAATTATTCTACCGCAACGTAATACCGCGATTATCGTCAAGTTTCAACGCGAGATTTTCCCGTTTATTTCCATTCTTTACTTCGTAGTTAACTATGAAATCGGGCTTTTCGAGAAGCTGATTCGAAAAAATTAGCTCTCGAAAATCGCAGTCAGTGCTCACGGGTTTGGTAATATGAAACAATCACTCTTTGATGATCCTCAACGGTCGAACTGATGCGTACGTACGATCTCCGCGGTGGCTTCTCGCCGAGGATGCAAAATTCACTCGCAAACTTCGCAGCAACGCTACGATTTTAGACCGTACTAAAAATACGATTTGTCCTCGACTCTACAAGCTAGAACGTCGAACGTTCCGAAGGCGCGCCGCGCTCGAATGATATCGGGGCAGGCTTATTTTATTTGACAGGCTCGTTCTCGTTTATCGTATATAAACGCTGAGAGAGTTTTCGCGTCGTTATACTTATCGATTGTAATTCGACACGAATTCAAAATTACTCGCGCATTCAGCGGTGAACGCGGAGAATCTGTACCGGCCTGGTTGTGACACATGGCCTGGCACGAATATATATCGCGCACCGCGCTTGAACGAGAAACGCGTGAATACGAGAGCCTCAGTCCTCGTCCGTCCAAGTATACGCGTATAATATTGACCCGCAGCCTCCGTTCAAGATGAGATTCGCTGATATAGCATTTACGTCATCGTATGCGAAAACAGATGACAGATTGACAAACACGTTGCATGTGCTACGAACGCATCACGCCGGCTATCTCTCTTCTTCGCTCTCTGTATACGAAAGAGAAAACGTCATTCCGGCAAATCTCCGACATTTTGCGCGCAAACATTTCCGATTTGAAATATGCCAACTAAATTTACAAAGGAGACGGTGGGAAAACATGTTTTCCACGGAAATTTTGAATATAACAAGCGCTCGATTTATGAGATATTTGTTTTCAGTACGTAAGTCACACATTTTAAGTAAGTTTCGTAAATCGCGAACTTTTTGTACTTGGATTTCTTTAATTTTATATTTTGGAAAAGGGTTGAAAAATGAACGGTAATATTTTGCACGGACGTGACGTTCTAAAATATATCTGGCAATTAATTATGGTACGACTATTCGGAAGTCGGCAGACGCGGTTCATTATACTACTGACATTATCAATCTTGTGGTTCATACAAAATTCATTGCCTCTTTTTTACCTATATATCCATAAAATAATTTTGAGAGAGAGAGAGAGAGAGGAAAAAGAGAGATTTATTAATTTAAATACGATAAAACAGTAATTATTTTTGAGTTGCAAGCGAAAAAGTCCTGAATAAATTTCAAAACCAAGTAGCTTTCAAAAAAAAAAGTAAAAATCCGACTACATTGAACTTCTAATCTCCGTATTAATTGAAAATTCAAAGTTGGAAATTGGAAAAAGCGAAAAGTTATAATCAGATTTTCACAAAAGATCCTCATCTTCGTCGGCAGTATTATAGCTGGAGAATTTCCGACGTACCATACGCACACAACGCACAAGGTTGCTAATTACATCACATATCGTTTCAACACGGGTTCCTTTTACCGTAATTAATTTACTTTTCAGAAAGACAATTAACAAATGTCAAAGGAGGAGTCTCAGGTCACGCATCGCTCACAAAGGCTTCGAGACGAAGGACGAGTGTATACTTTCACGAGCACTCTCGCAATTTGCGTTTACTCCGATTCGCTTTTCCGGAGCTCCGCGCGCGCGAAAGGGCGGAGCGAGCGATGCGTGCCGGCGCCGGTGGTTACGCGCTGACTACGACACAACTCGCCTGCACTCGTGCACTCGCGCGTATATGCGTGAGTGAGTGCGTGCCGAAAAGCGCGCGCGTCCCGAGCACGCACGCGCCCGCCGCCGCGCCGCGCGCACTACGCGTGTCTGCGCGCGCGAGCACCCTCGGCCTCGGCTCCATATCTTCGCCTTCGACGAAAGGCTTCGCGCTCCGGGACAGGGACAGGAAACGGACACTTGTGACGCCGTTATTGCCATTTAAAATATTTCGCGGCTTGACGCGGCGGTCGACTCCGCGCGGACATTATACCGTAATAAGATCAACAAATCGCAGCCGGCCTTTTAACACGATCACAATGCGCAACGTCGTCGTAAAACACTACGGCGGACTGCGCAGGGCTACTGAACACGTCGTCGCGTACACGTGAAAACAAAAGGAAAGGAAGACGATGTTCTGATAAACTCAAGTTTCATACAAAGAGAAATCAATAGTGTTTTAAAGAACGTCAATCGCGGCGGACAAGAGCGCAATTCTGTCGAAAAATAAAACGATAATTTCGTCATAAAAGATTTGCCTCGGGATATACATAGATATTTTATATTAATTATGAAGATTTTTGTTTCCATAGTCGCGCGGATCTCATTTCGGAATTTTGGAGCACGGGAACACGGGAAGAATTTAAATTATCGCGGTGTGCGTTCGCAACCGCGATAATCACGTCTGCTTACACGTCTGCGTGTATTTAGGCGCGAAGCAGCGGAGGAAGATACATTATCACGTCGCATTATCACGCGAGTAATCGCCCTCGACTAATCGCATTTACGCATTACTGAGAACGCACTAGGTCAAGATAAATGCCACGCTTAAATCCATGTCGCATGCATGCGTGATAAAGCCATGACCTACGATCATTAATGCTCATTGCTGGCGATAATGAAGAAGACGATACTAGCTTCGTTAAGCTTCGCTCCCTCTTTCTCTCTCTCTTTCTCCTCTCTCCTTCTCCCTCTATCGCTATATGCCATAAAATGTCAATATTCGAAATCTCTCGTACGCGTTACATAATAGTAGCACTCCCAGCGGAACGCGCGGGGAGACGCGTTTCGCCAGAGCGGCCTCGGCTCCAGCTGAAGCTATTTCGCCGGACCGGTCAACCGGGAGTCCCCCACGTCGGGGAACCGGAACCGCCATATACGCTCGCATCGCATTCATCGGACGCACGTATACGAGGACTCACCTTCACCGACATCTTGACCCGGCACACGATCGCGCACCCACTGCACTGTCACCTTAATTATTGATTCACCATTGAGGGTGGAATACGTTGCGCCCACACGCGAGACAGGGGGCAGCGATCGCCGGACGAAAAAGGGCAGAGAGAAACGAGGGTGTGGAGGCCGTACGGGGAGAGAGAGAGAGAGAGGAGGCGGGAGGCGGGGGGAAAGAAGGCAAGATCGTCTTCACTGGGTGTTTCCAAGGCTGCCAGCGGGACTACGGCATTTTCCACCGTTTTCGCCAGCGTGGCCGGTAAAATGCGCTGCAATCGGCTTTCGGCGGCTGCTCTCTCTCAACGGGGGAGGGATGCCTTTGCCATCACCCTCCGTCGCGCCAACCCCCGTCCAACCCGCACCACACGTCCCACGACCCCGCGAAACCCGTTTATATTGATTTCTCGCCCGTCCGGTTCTACCTGCCATCTCTTATCGTCGCCTCACGGCGACTATCGCCTTATCATCGTGATACTGATACACCGAGTCTTGTCACGTTAGCTGTAGTCGATGTGTGGCGAGGTATTTAAAGATCGCGCAGGAAAACGGACGGCTGAAAAACTCGGAAAACTAAGCGACTGAACAAGACCGTCGTTCATTTGTTGCACCAGCACATTTAGTCTACGCGACTCTTTTGAGGGAAAAAGTAAATATTGCAAAGATAGAAAAATTCAATGACATTTATTCCCTTGGAAACGAATTTCTCGAATTCCTCGAATAATTCTATATAATTTTAAACTTGTACTACTTCTACTTCTGATGCATACTCACCATTTACTACTGGCCGATATGAAAGCATCGTCTACTACTGAAGATATGCCGAATGCGGAATAGAAAGAGATTCGCTTTAACATATCGTTCCTAATTCTAATCTTCTAATCTTTAACTTCAATTATTTCTTCGTAAAAATTGAAATAAATTAACATAAATCTCAACAATCTCACAGCTATCTTTTTTTTTTTATTTTTATAATTTTATTAAATAAATTCATAACAAAACATACAGTTAATTTTCTTTTATTGTTATTCCGCAAATATCACTATCACTCGTAACACATTTGCGTCGAGGATTAATATCTAATTAAAAAGTAAATTTGAGAAGAATTTCGATCAATTAATCTTCAAAGAATCGTGTAAAAGTAATTATTAATATAGTTTTTCTAGTATTTCGCTGAAAAATTATTTCATACAAAGAAATGACACCATCGCCCAAAAAATTCAAATTATGAAAAATAAAAGAAAGATAAAACGGTTCGAAAATAACAAAACTATAAATAAATGTGAATATTTCGTTTTTATTAAACATTAACTTATTTTAAACCGAATTTATCAGATAATTTTTATAAAGTAAATTTGTATAAAAATATAAAAAGTAAATTGAAAAGAGTCATGCTTAGTTGGAAGGGCATGGTTTTCGGGGATTTTTATAAGAAAGTTCAATTAATTTTTTTTACAACGAAAAGTTGATATCAAAAGTACTTATATTGAACAACTTTCAGAATTTTTTTCGTTGAAAAATATTGTAAATTAAGGAAGTTACGGCCATTCCTGATTTTTCAGAGGTGTCGTGCGGTGTACACGATAACTCCAAGCCAAATCATCTGAAATAAAAAAACCAAAAAGATTCTGTTAGTATATGAATATATCTTGTTCGTGAACGAAGAGGGTTTTTTTTTAATAAAAAATTTTTTTTTATTGAAGAAAAACGAAAAATTAAGAGCCCGAAAAATTGCGCTTTTCCTTAAAACACGCCTGCCATTTTGTCAAAAATTATTTTTTCAAAAATTCCTTCGTTCACAAACAAGATATATTCATATACTAACAGAATCTTTTTTGGTTTTTTGATTTCAGATGATTTGGCTTGGAATTAGCGTGTACACCGCACGACACCTCTGAAAAATCAGGAGTGGCCGTAACTTCCTTATTAATTTACAATACTTTTCAACGAAAAAAATTTTGAATGTTGTTCAATATATGTACTTTTGATATCAACTTTTTGTTGTAAAAAAAATAAATTGAACTTTCTTATAAAAATCCCCGAAAATCATGCCCTTCCAACTGAAAACAATGAGAAAAAAATATTTATATTTTTTATTTTTTTTTAAATATCACTATACTAAACTTTTTTGTAAATTTTGAAATTTTTGAATCACCAAATCAAAGATTATTTTATTATAAACTCAGCTATATGTAAAAAATAAAGTTATGTTTCGAAAAATCATTTTCGAGAATTAATTAGAAAACCTCTCTATGCACACGCTATCCATGCCCGTCCATGCGTTCGATTCTTCAACACATTCTGTTCGCATTTTCCAGGAATAGAAAATGACGATGATAAATACGTTTGGAGAACATTTTATATATAATCATGGAAGTTTTTATCGCGCACCGAACGATCGACGTTTATAGAACAGTCGAATATGCAGTAAGGTCATAGTATCAAGATATAAAAGTCAAATATGAATGATCCAAAGTCGCAGGCGCGAAATGACGCACGAGGGGCAAAATCAATTGTGCATATTTTTAATGCGATGCCGCTAGTTGAATTATATAAGACTTATGGAATATATGTTGCAGTAGTTTTCAATTGTGCAACATGGATATATCGTGCGCAAATTGTGGTATGCTTCACGGGGCAAAGCGGTGTTTCATTATTTGCATTAATGATAAAAAAAAGCAATTCTAAATGTTATTAATGCAAATAATAAAGTAACTTTCCCCGATGAAGCATACCATAATTTGCGCAAGATATATCCATATTGCACAATTAAACTATATTTTAACACGTATTTCATAAATCTACATAATTCAAGTAGTGCATGGCATCGCATTAAAAATATGCGTAATTAATTTCGCCTTTCGTGCGTCATTTCGCGCCTGCACTTTGGTTCATTCATATTTGACTTTTATATAAATACGTTGTTCTACCTGTGCGCGAGAAAAACTTCCATGATTATGTATACAAAAATATCATTCAATTTTTAATTTAAAGAATTATTTTCTTTTTTATAGTTTCGTCGATATTCATCCCTAAAGAGAATTAAACCCTAACTTTTTTCAAAGGAATGTTTTATTTCCTAAACATGCAATATAGGCAAGTTGTAAAAAAAAATGTGTCCCTTATTTTGACTTCGAATACAACAGCTTATTAAAAGTTCATAAAAATCGGAGGGAGTTCATAAAAATCACTTCCGTGGATTTCCTTGTAAGACATATTATCTTGGTTGTACGATAAATATTTGGTGTCTTTATTTCAGATAGACATTCTTTCACATTAGATTCACGGTATCTTACAGTGTCACTGATACCGCGCGGATACATGATTGCACATTACGGTGAGAAGATCGTTCAGAGACTAGAGCTTATTAAAGCTATACGATATAACGCGCAGCCTACGCACGCACACAAAATATAGTGACTTCTGACTAAAAATTATTGTAGACTCGTGGCGGTATATATATATATACGATATACAATATATATGATACAAGCTTATTAGGTATATAATCACGCGGACTCTCGTTAAACAGCCCATTTATCAGTTATAATCGATTACAAAAAATAAGTGTGTACATATATATCTCTTTTTATTTTGCTTTGCATTTTAAGGTAAGACCTCCTTGGCTGCGAGATTCATCGTCTCGCTTATCCAAATTACTCGCTTATCTAACGGACTTGTCGCTATTGGCACGTATGCATATTTTCTTGGACCGCTGTTATGCAAGAACTTAAGTCGAAGGACTTGGCGACGTGGTGTGCCGCGACCTTAGTTAAAATTCATTACACATTGTATGTGTATTGCATACAAAAAAATAATAGCGAGAAGAAGTACATAATGCGTATATAAATCGAATTGCTTTCTTTTGATGCAATTTATCTAAAAGATATGATACGAGAGGGTTGCAATTAATGTTCCCACGACGTTGATAAGAGCGTAGTAAATCAAGTATCATTCATGTCACAGCACGAGGACGCAGTCTTTCTCCTTACACGATATATAGGTAGAAAGAGATTTTGAAGTAAAAATATTAAATCTATATTACGCGTGGAAATTAATATGTTACGTTTATTGCTTACAATCAAGTTTACTTGAATTATATTCATCGTATGTATTCTCTCACGTTCGTATTTTTCAACTGAACGACCTCCGCTTTAACTTCTTGCTCTTTCACGCGACTGCACTTTTATCATAAAAGTATTGCTGCTTCAATCGTAGACTCGTATTTTTTTTTCATAATAAACTAGAATTGTTTTTCATCATTGTCAATATAATGTCAAGTATGTGCGCAACGCGTAGTAACTTATGCATTCTTTAATATAGAGATAATATTAATGTGCACATACATATATAATAGAGCTTAAATATATAGAGAAAACTAGCTTGACAGAAATATACTGCACGAAGGACGACACCATTTCGGGCATTGTTGAATTCAACATATCAACATTATTATTAGAAAAAAATACGTCAAAATTGATTTATGATATTTAAAATAATTCTTATTTATTGTAAATTTTCTTGAAGACTCTAGCCACTTTCTTGGTCTTTCGTAAGTAATTTGTAAGTACATTTCCCCACTTGAGAATTAAAAAAAAATGTGCGACATTTATTCACCATTATTATATAAAGTAACGATTGATATCTTTCTTTGTGCGTAGGTGTATTAAATTGGGCCGCGCTTTTGAAACATCATTTTCACTGTGTGTGTGTGTGTTTCGATCTTAATCTTAAATTACATTAAGTACAGTGCGAAAATAAAAAAAATAGCATCTGTTATACGACGTTCAGAAAGATCTTTTTATGGCAGTATGTGTATTGTATCGTAGGTATCAGAAATAAGGACGTTTCGCTGACGCATGTAAATGGAACTGTCGTCTATCACACTTATTGTTAGAGATAATATTCAGCATCTCAATAAGTAATCAAAATAGTTTAGCTTCAGAATTGTAATCGGAATTGTTTGCAAAAAATATTGCGGAAGTGCGATTTAAGTCTAACGTCTAATATTAGGTTCGCTAATGGTACGTGAGATAATAATGAAGGATATATATACACATCTTTCACGAGATTCAATCGTCAAATTCGACGATTAAGATGCTGATATGCAAAACAAATATTACGAAATCCGGTAAATACGAAATACTCACAGCTGCGTGAAATATACCGTGCGTACGTGTTAATAAAAATAATGTCGCATTATTTCTGATAAAATAGAATCGTTATTTCATCGCGACGGTCGGAAATTCCGTTAAAGATTACTCTCTGTTGTATCTCGATAACGATTAAGTTTGTATTGCTATATAAGTTATGCGCGAATAAATAGAGACATACAAGAATAAACATCGCGTAATACGCGCAATGATAAGAATTTCGATTTTACGTTCAGTCTAGCGACTTTGATCTATCTAATTTGTGTTTACTTTCGAGATCAAAGTTTGCACTCCGATTCATCGCACAAAGATCGCGGGCCTCGTCGGCATTTTCACTCGGAGGCGATTGCACATTTTCAAAAATAAAGGATTCTAATATCACATTATTGGATGGATTTGATTGAGAAGAATTCGCGACCGCGGACGCTGCTGTCTGAGCGGAATTGAAAGTGCCCCGTTGGGAAGCGCCTGACGAATCTCCGGGGAGAACTTTTTGGAAGCTGCTGCCTTGGTAAATGACATCTCCGGCGTGTCTGCGCGGCAATCGCAGGGAACCGCCGTAATCCGCACGTTCTCTCGGGAAGTTTCTCTGCGTCGCAGGAACCACGTTGAACGTACGTTTCGACTCGTTCTCGCTTCCCTCCGACTTAGGCGAGAGAGCACGCGTGTCTGTGGTCGTCGCGCATCTTCGATTTTCATCCTGCGTGGTGATCTTACCGTGGACTCGCAACGCAGACTGATCGTTTCCATGCCAAGGACTACGTTCTCCGTAGCTGCCGGTCGCGACGTCGATATTGAGCATCGCGCGTTCCTCCGTACCCGGAATCTCATAGCCACGAGCCACGTTTTCCGCGTCCGACGCGTCGGACGATCTGTCCGTTGGATAGCCCGGCAATCGATGCGGGCTAGTCTGGTAGCTGCAGCTGAAATTACTTCCCCCGGACACGACCGGTTCCTCTGGATACTCTAAAGGGACGCACACGTTTTGACCAACCGCACCGTTCGTGGTGCAATATTGGGAGAAATGCGCGAACGGAACGCTCTCATGACCGTCGAGCTGATGGGCGTTCGCGCTATCGTTTGGACATTGACTCGAATTACCGTCCACCAATCTCGCCGGAGAATTGCAGCTGTAGAAAAAGCACTGCGGCACACTCGGATTCGGTATCACGTTCGCCGTCTGCAGATTGAGCCGCGCGGCCGAGGACTCCGGCGACGCCGGATTTGAGAGCTTGCCGCGCGTTTGCGCTATCACCGTCTCGTAGCTAGGCGGAGGGCCGTATAATTGATAGTAAGGGCAATTGGCATCGTTTAATACGACGTTCATATTCTGATAGTGTGTCGATGTGGTCGCGTTACCGTTATATGCTGGCGCTGCTGTACTTCTCTGAGGACCTGTTTAAAAAAATTTACACAAATAAAGTTTCTACACTGCGGTTTCTCATGCATGTTAAAGTAAATAATCTATTAGAAAAAGATACGAACCTTTCCACATGCGATGCAGTAGGACGGTATTTCTCGCTGAATTGTAAGTAATACGAGCCTGCTGCGCTTGACAAGGCGCGTTACGAAGAGAATTTTGCGATCTAGCGTTAGAAGACCGAGTCGGAATTGCCGAAGCTGCGGCTCTATATCTGCCCTGCAACCAGTATCGGTACCACCAACCACCACCAGAGCAGACCAAGAACATGATTATAACCAGGATCCTAAAAAATCGTACGACATTTTTATTGTTACGCTGCTTAACGAAAGAGCTGCAAATTATATAAAACATTGTTGTAGTTATTATCGAAAGAGATATCGTTGTTAAAAACTACTTACCAATAGTACCACAAGTGATGGAAGTGAAATCCAGGTGACACGCAACAACCGAAAGCGCAACAATACTCCGTTCTTGAACATCTGCAAGCGTTACAATTAATGTAAAATTAATTTTTCATACACGATATAATAAACAATTGATTTCCTTAAACACACAAGTGTATTTTATAATCGATTGATCGAATAAAATCATCGAATAAAACTAACTAATTAATTAATATAGTCAGAAGAAGTAACATACTCGTAGTATTTTATTTCTCCAGGCATGTCAGAGGCACAGTACTTTGCTTCTGCCTGAAAAAGAAAAAAGAATAGCAGCGTAACAAATGATTTGCAAAAACAAACTATGTGTTTAAGCAGAATAGCTGACTTATAATTTCAACACAGTGCTTTATGCTTTAAATCTTTGTTTTTAGCCACTTACAATACTCAAGTCTTAACGAGTGTACAAAGTGTCAACATAGTAAGACTTGAGAGACAAGACAGTATTGTGCGTTGCTAAAAACAAAGATTTAAAGAATAAAACACTGTCTTAAAATTATAAGTCAGCTATTCTGCTCAGGCCCTATCGTGTACTAAATTAGCAAAATCTAACAATATTTAATCGATATCTAATATCTAATAATAATCTCACAAAATCCCGTAATAACTTTTTGTACTTGGAGCATTTTATGATGCTCCATTGTTTGATTCTATCCACGAGGTGAAATCGAACGTAATTGAGCGAAGCTGTAAGAAGTGTGAGAATTCTTCTGAATTCTCTCAAACAAATCGTTTCCAAAATATAAAACCGAAACGTAAAATCTCGGAGTCCGCGGGTGTGCGCGATTTTTCGAGTAGTGAAAAGGAGAAACCGATGAGCAACGAGCGCGTCGTCGTGCGCGCGTGAAGGACGAGCTCAACTCACGTAAACGAGACACTTCGATGTACCCACGAATATCGCGAGTTTCTTCTTGCTGCTGCGAGCCATCTCTCGCCAATTGGATACCCGCGTCGTCGATTCCGAGTCAAGCGCGATTGGGCTTAGCGCGTTGTTTTGACATAATCGCCATTTCCCACCGTCCGTGATGTACACACAACATTGCACATTGCACTTATTGATTTCAATTTCGGGACTCAACAATGACGTCAGCTCGGCCAGCCAGGGCTACCACCGCGACCACCGGAGAGATGAGAGCGAGGTGGGCGATGACGCATTCGGCGCGCTAACGAGTGCGCCATCCAATGCCGCAATCGCTTAAGAAACTCGAGCGTTGATTGACTCTTACCTCTGGATCCAACAGCAATAGACATATCTGCATACTTAAATTTATTTTAAAATCTTAATTCATTTTATTTACTTCAAAATCTCAATTTATTGATTATAAATAGATGATACAAAATCAGAGAATTAATAGATACACATTTACATGTATATAGACTCATGCTTTTTTTCTTTATTTCCTTACCTCTAATATATTATAATTGTACAATTTTATAATTCGTATCTTCTTCTCGATACTTTTACACGTGCTGTTCTATTCCAGCAAACAGATGCAGCACACAAAGTAATATAAGCGTAATTATTATAATAATGTTCATTTTGCTCGCACTCTTTTAAAAGTTTACAATCGTGCGGTCACGAAAGCAGCGTGAAGATGCAGAGCGGCTTAAAATGATGCAATTTTGAATCAGCCACAATCTGCAATTAATTTTATCTTCCAAAATTTCACTCGATTCCTTTTTCAGATCACAGTCTCATTACAAAGGCGCATTGATATATATCTTTTTCACATTGATCGATTGCTTTTTATTTTGCGATTTTTCGATCCCCTTTTGCCTAAAATATCAGCGCTTAAAGATCGAAATTTAAATACCGTGTCTCATCCACACAAAAAGCGTAGCACTTCGGATAATGCTATGCTCCTTAGCATAGATAAATATTAAGCTATATCTAAAGCCTTGTGTCCACGATGCTTTCGACAAGTCGGTCTGCGAGATCTCAATTCAAATTCTTGAATAGAAGTAGTTGTACTTTGATGATCCTAAATAGCGTTATGGTTGAAAAATGTTGAGTCGAGAGCTGAGTTCATACTCGGACCCGTGGAATATATATATAATCCTCTTCTCTATTTATTAAAGATTTATGAAAATTATATACATTTCCGTTGTCCAACATCTTATTGACTAGCTATTTATAAAGTAACAATGTTGGCAAAAAAGAATTGAATCGATATAAACCTAGTAACTAGTATGAAAAAATGGGACAGGGGATGCATCTTTTCTATACGAGATATTCATCCGAGTTGTCATGTGCCATGATTCGAGTTTTAGTAACTTTTTTTCGGATCGAGGACTCGGACCGATTTCTAGCATTGTAGACACAAGGATCTGCGAAGCGCAAAATTTTCAATTTGTGTAAGGGAAGCGTGACATTAACGCTCCAAATCAAATTTTTTACAACATATAAAATTGAAATAGGTATACTATACAAGTTTACACAAGTTTTTACATAGTACGTTAGATTCGGAAATTCGTTACGTAATCCTTACTGAAGCATGCACATTCGACAACATCTTCTTCTCTCTTACGTATCGCAAAGTATTTATCCGTATACATACATTTATATGTATCTTGTCTCGACTCGAATCCCACGGGAAATGTTATTCGCGGCTTACCTACCGAATGGATTTAGATTTCTGTTGTAATCGTCGTCATTGTTGCCGGCCCGATCATTATCGTTATCATCGTCATCTTTAAAAGGATTATTCGCATCGTCGTCGTCGTCGTCGTTGGCGAAGGGATTTTTGGATTCGTCATAGTCAGTCTCAAAGGGATTCGATGGCACAGCGGGGGTTTTCGTTGAAACAAAGGACTTTTCGATCGGCGATGACTTTGGTGTAGTGCTGTTCAAGATACGGGCTTCTCTGATCGGCACCGGCGAGGCTTTGGCGGAATTACCGCGTGGCGTCGACAAACCGCTTCCCGTTCCCGATATATTCGCCTCCAACGATGAGGAATACACTTCTGGCTTGACAAAATTTCGGAAACGCTCTTCCGTTATTAACGTTGGAACGTCGTATCCGGCACGTCGAGGCTCCGCTTTTCCTATTGAAAGAACGCGAGAAGGTATCGATTAATCATTACGCGTTAATATGAAAGATTGATGACGCAAAGCTCCGTATGAGAGCGACCGACTGTAATATCGGGTTTCATTCCGACCCTCATCCCACGTGTCTCCGTATAAGAGATTAATAAAGAGTTGAAGGTTACAAGTAAAAGGAGTATGAAGTAAATTATAAACTTGTCTCGACAAAATAAACTAATACAATATCGGCATGGCATTAAAACGTACCTGAGGTAGAACTCTTCCCTTCGTTTAACCTGAGTCTCGCTTCTGCACCTGGGCCGTAATTTAACTTCGGTTCCTCCGATCTAGTCGGTGTAGGTAACGATTTGTCTGTATCAGTAATTACTGTTAATTTCTTAAAAACACCTCTACCAAAATAATCGGCCACTAAGGAAAATGGATCCTCCGCTCGATCCAGAAGACTGTGGAAAGTCTCGTGCAGATCCCTCGATTGCTCTTGCGCTCTTATAATATCCAGTAATTTCTTGTTGTTTGGCAAGCAGGCCGGACATTCATTTTCATTTTCCGAAAAGCTTTGAAAGCAACTACCGAGAAAAACGTATAAAAGTAAAACAAGTGCGATAGTTGAGTTCATGTACTGTAATAAAAATAATAATATTTAAAAAAAGCTCACTGTTGGTGATATGAATGTTGACACATGAAATGCACGGATGGCAATTCCAACTGATGATGACACGCGCTACATCGTGATCCTTGAAAAATTATCGTATTATTCTTTATTGCTTCTATTTGTTCCCGTAATTTAAGGGTATCGGCTCTATATTTCTCTGTTAATTCCGTGTCAGCTTGAGTTTGCTCGTTCTCCGTTCGTAATACACTGCACAAATAACTTCTAACGTCTCCCAACGTGCAGGTCAATGATGTGGAAATTGCGTCAACGACCATCAAAGGAGATAACAGTCTTTCTTGAGCTACAACGGTATTTTTACGTGCAACAAAATAATGTTTTCCAATGCATTTGATTGAACATAATTGATATTCCGCGAATATATTTACCGATATAAGCTAATATATCGGCGAGAAGTTTCGTTGGTGCATCCTTGTTTTTAGCTACGCTCCACAAAGCTTGTACCCACAGATTAGGGTCCTGGTGACCGAATCTTTTGCAAGTGGCGAGAACTTGTTCACTATCTCCCTCGCATAAGTGAAATCTCAATATTTCTTGATATCTAAGATAATAAAATTTATGTTTAAGTGTGTTTCTATGTCGTTACAAACATTCATACGACAATGACTTACAGTTTGCTCTCTTCGTAAAGAAATAGCAATCCTTTTCTGAAATTATGTTGATGACAAAGTATTAATATCTGGTCTTTATCATAACGGGCCTCAGAATTCTGCAGAAGTCGTACAATTTTCTGTTCATATTGTAGTTTAGCTACATCGTTATCTAATGCCGACCAAACATGTAAATAATGTTCCACTAATGTATTATAAATAAGTGTACTCCATCTACAAGAAATATAAAAAAATGAAAAATTAATTTCATGATAAAAAGTACTTGTAGCTTTTCTCTCATGAAAGATACTAACTTTGTATCTGATTTAACTAAATGCTCCAAAAACTCTACGAGTCGTTCAGAATTATTTAGAAATAAATGAATAAAATCTTCTGGACTAGCTTTATCGACGCGCTGTTCTGTATAGCCATTTAAAGCTTCCTGCAAAGGTAAAAGAATCCATAATATTTTCCATCTTTTAATTTTTTCTCAATACAATAATTTGGTTAAAACGAATAGAAGAATGTAAGATTCAGACATATGTATACATACCTGATCTACAAGAGGTTTGTTGGAAGGCTTATAGTTCGTGCACAAGGCTTTCAAAAATTGTGTAGATTCATTTGGCACATTTTCTATTAAGATATTTCCATATTTTTTCATATTGGCTTCTGCCTAAAATATATTTAAACGATTTTTTAATATGGCTATTTTACTATTTCTTTGTAGAAATTGTATAGAATTTATGTACATGATATACATATATGTAATACCTCTTCGAATTCTAACGTTGCCATGTATTCCAAAGCCTTTTTGTATTCCTGTTTATCTTCGATTTGGATGCGAAGATACCATTCGTGTTTACCGTGTTTCTGTGCGAGTAATAGGGCATCCTCCGGCGATGCTTGGCGACAAACTTTTATCGCTATTTCCACGTCAAAATCAACCTCACGATCTTTTGTCTAAATCATATACAAAGTAATATAATAAAGGTATACAATACACATAAATATTTATAGTTTCCATGTCCAACTTACCATAATAAACTCTTTTAACTTATCGGTATGGTTAAGCTTGGTGTAACAATTTAATAACAAAGTAGTATGATCCTCTGTTGCCTGTCCATTTTTATGCAACGCTTGCAAATACGTCGTCAAATTATCAATATGTTGGGAATCCAAGAATTTTCTTATCACATAAGACGGTTCTAATTTGCCTATAGTCTTTATATATTGTTCTATAGCGCCATTATGATCCCCCTTAGAATATAAATGATCTCCGTATTGACGGAAAATGTCTATGAGACCTTCTGCATCATATTGCTGATTTTTAGCTATTCTGTGGTAGCGTAAAAAGTTATATTAATAAACATTAGTCTTGATGCTGATTTAATTGCAATTAAATCGATATATCCGATATCATACCTTATAGAAACATCGTACAAATTCTTTTTGAAAAGTAATGCTAATTTTGACTGTAAGTCTTTCTCATCTAAATGATACAATTTGTTATCTCCACTAAGTATAAAAAATCCACCCCATTCGGATAAGACTGCTTGGACAGACACCATTGGTGCGGAGAACACGATAAACTTGTTTTGAATATCGAGCACGGTAATGATGTGCTTATCCACGCCAGGAGGTATCGGCTCTATTGTGCTACGGAGATTTAATATGCATTACAACATAAATATAAAAGAATTACAAAAGAAAATGCATACGTGTGTATTATGTATTACTTGGGTTTGGCGGATATAGTTGTTGTTCTTGGAACATTCGCCGCTTCTTTTGCTACTATCACCAAATATGTCCTGAACCATTCTAGCATTATCTTCTGACCCTCTACTGCGTAGCATGGACCTCTACCGTCTGGCGTGTAACAATAAATAGCCTGAAAATTTTTGGCTTTTTAAAAACGGACGTAAAACGTAATGCAAGATGCAAGCACGAAGGCAATATGCGTGACGTACGTCATTACGTCCGATCATAAAGTGACTGTCCTGCATAGACTCGGCGAGCACGCTACATCTTCGCGCGCAACCCATAGTATCCAAAGTAGACTTGAATTCCTTATCCTTAACGGTAATATTATACAGGAACACACAATTCTGCGTGGCGACGAACAGATAGGTCTGCTTACCGGTCGCTCGTATCGCGAGGCCGGTAACAGACAGATTGGAATCCTTCAAAACTTTTATCTTATTCTTTCGCTCTCGAGTCAGGTCACCCCTGAAAAGAATTTAATTGCTGATTAATATAATATCGTATCATAATATAAAACATCGCATAAGAAAATAGCATCCACCTTCTAATACCCAATGACGGAGAATAAAAAATAAGAAGCAGAGATAAAAAAAGAATATAAGCTTACCTATACAACATGATAGATCCATCCCCGAATCCAATAGCCATCAATGTAAGACTAGTATGTACACATAGCGCTGTCGCTGGGACCGCCCTGTAGCTAGGTATGGCTCTGCTTATTCGAACGCATGTCGGATTACCTTGTTTATCAGGCTTGGCCAGGTTCCAAACCTTTATAGTAGGATTGCATCCAGGCTCGTCCTCCTGTTAACAATAAATTCAAACAATTAAATCAAATCTATCATACGTACTCGGTCTAATTAAGAACATGCATGGCAACGAGAGATCATAACAGCACTCTTACACCGATGGTGAACAAGAAGGTGGAATGTTGGACTTGCTGCGCCAACACCAGCGTGATCTCGTAAGCCCGAAAGGTGGTGATTTCGTACGACCGGTTTATCAAATGTACGCTGCCCGCGTTGTCCCCGAACACGAGATTGCCATTGCCACTGGTAGCTGCAGCGACTTGCGCATCCTATAGGATGGTATAACCAGGAGCTTTCATAAGTAATGACAACCAGGAGCTTTCATCCTGTCCACGACAGTTGGCGCACGACAGTCAATCAACATTGTCATCACGCAAGGTAACAACTTACCCCGAACGCTTTAGCGATCTTCCCGGCGTCGACTTCCTTTTTCAAGTCGAAGAAATTAAAGCGCCTCCACTAAAACGATAATAAGCTCAACATTGACATTCTAGGTTATGTCGGGCGAGAGAAACAACGAGGTCGAGATCGAGTCGCGAGGAAATAACGAAAATGACTGACCTCCAGGAACGCCATGATACGTGAAACGAGGCGACGCTTATTTGTACTCGGAGGGAATTGTAGGCCCAGCGGTTTGCGTGCGGATTTTTGACAGCGACGCGTATGATCGATCCGTCGGATCCGTCAACACGCCCGCCGTCGCCGTCTCGCCGCTTTCTATCAGCTGTTCGCGACTGCTCCGAACTACTCCGAAGTGCCCGTCGAGTTGCGCGCGTGCGCGCGGATCTGCCGTACCGCCGCGTGAAGTTAGCCGCTGGTCGAGGGTTCCTAGTTCCTACGCTAGATGAAGACACTGACACCGTCGCGGTCGCGCTGGAGCCCGGAGGGGGCGAAGGGGTCGGCAGAAAAGTTTCGTTCGCGTTTCGTCCTCGTCTCGTTTGCGAATTGGATCAAGCGCGCGCGTTAAAACTTTGTGTCGTATCTCATTTACGTGGTAAAGTAACGAGAGCAGTAATTAAAAATGTTTAGCGGAGCGTTTGCCGCATTGCCGCCCGGAAATGGAGAATCGGCGTCCTTGGAAAAGGGAGGATACGGAGAGTCGCACAGGTATCGTTGCTCTCTCGTTTCTTTTTTTTTTTTTATCAATTTGCAATCGGAAAGTTCTTGCGTGGATTTTAATGGCGGCCGTTGCGCTCTTGCAATTAAATTTGGAGCCTAAGACGTGATCAAGGTTTGCTCTGGATGATCGATAATTCGTATATTAGAAACTTATCTTTATTTATATAATTTTATGCGCCGCGAAAAACGTTTGAAGAATTCAACATATGCACACGCAAATATAGATTATATTTTGAAATACGTAATTGTGGAATATAGAACATATATTATTGGAAATGTAAAAGATGTAAATACACGCTATATCGTGAAATTTTAATTATTTTTATATAACTAAAACGAATAAGAGCATTATTAAATAAATAAAATTCAATATCATAAAAAATTATTTTATATCGAATTATTTTATTTATGATCTTTCAAGCTATGTGCGAATTGGTGCGTGAAAATCTGAGGGATCGTGGTTCGTCAAAAATAGTCTGAACGATTGAAACACAATACATGAATTCGACGTACTATGCATTAATAAAATTGTCGAGCCAATTTAGCGTTATTATATTCCTCGATAAGAGGATTTGCAATTCCGTTGCAGTCTGCAATTTTTCGTTTAAAAGAAAAATTCTTCGCAATCTCCTTTTCTTCTATAAGTTGGGTAGGACTTTTTCTTTCCCCTCGAAAGTTTGCGAGATCTCGAATTATTCGCGCAACTCGGTGCCCTCGATCCACAGATGATCATATATAAGATTACGACGAAATCAAATGTCACGGCCGCGACGATACACGGGGAAAAGAAAGAAGAAATCAAAACTTATGTATACTCGTATATACGCAACAATCCATAATCTTTTTATAAGAATTTCAATTTTTTATTTTAACTTTTTTCCCTTGGTTGAACTTATACCTACAATAACTTTATTCGAAGGAATAATACATAATTACAAATTGTGTCCATAAAGAATTTATTACATACAGTATAAATAATAAGTTACTTATGGATACAATTCGTAATTATGTATTATTCCTTCGAATATAGTTATTGTAAGAAAACAAGGTGTGCAAATACTTTTGATCCACTGTATATAAATTCATTCAAGCAAATTTTCTTCGTTTAACAATATATCTGTACCTTAGAGGTAAAGAATCGTATCTCTAGTTTTTGTCAGAATAGAATTAATAATAATAGAGTATTTTTTGCTCGATTTTTTGTTAAATTGTTTAATGGTGAAGGATCTTACGTCCATTATTACTAATTCCTAAGATACAATGTTTAGAAAAAGTCGTATTAGAAATTTTCATAGAAATAATAAACCTTAAATTCTGTTTCTCTTTTCTCCATATAAGTTTCTCTAAATAATGGAGATACGATTCTCCTTTACCTCTAATAACGTTTTCTACTAGGGAAACTAGTGCACACTGATTGTGAATGCATTTTTATTGTTTTACTGTGAAAAATTAGTTCACATATTTTCAATGTTTAACATTCTACTGATAAAAATTTGTCAAATTTGATACATTTTTATCAGTAGAACGTTAAACACTGAAAATATGTGAACTGCTTTTCACAGTGGAACAATAAAAATGCATTCATAATCAGTGTGCACCAGTGTTGCATTAGTTTTCCCAGAAAGAAATGCTATTAGGTAAAGATATATTTCATTTCAAGATAATAAATTTTTGCATATATATAACACAAGCATATAACTCTTGATTTCTTTTTTTTTCTGTGTCCTCGTTTATGTCGACGATTCGATCAGATCGGACGGGCGAAAGGGTTATAGAAAAGGGTTACTGAAAAGACCGCGACGAAGCGGCACGCCAGTGCAACGCCGGGACATGACAATTCTCAAGACGAGGAGACGAGTCGCGCTACTCGCCCTCGTCTCGTCCCGAGCGCAACGCGGCTTTCGCTCTGCACTGACATCCCGCCTCGTACGCTCTCGCGTCGAGAGTAAGACGTAAGTTCTGTTATATTTGTTAAAAAGGACGAACAATTAGTGTGTTTCGATGTCGTGGGGGCGGGCGTGTCCGTGTGTCCGTGTCCGTATGCATGTGTATGTATGTGTGTTATGTATGTAATTTGTCGCTTTACAGAGCTGTGCGCGGGGACTTAGACTCTCGAGAAGACTGGTCGTAAAATCCTTGAAAATCGGATCGTCGTTTCCGACGACGAATTACACCTAGACATTCCGGACAAATTTCGCGAGGGACGAGGGGGTTGCCTCTCTCGCTCTTTCTCTCACTTTCTCTCTCGCTCTTTAATATTACAAAGTAACAGGTAGATCTCCCGCACGCGTAACACAATCGTCGACGCAAAGATCGGATCGGCAACGACGATTTACGAAACGGAGCAAAGACGTTTTTTTCTCGTTGGTCGGGTGCTCCTCGATATTTCGTATTTCGGCCGCACTTATATACCTATAACAAATTATCACTTAATTGCGACGTGTCGATTTTGGAGCCTCTATTTACAGATCGTTCGTGACGCGACACGTCGCTTCGAAACTTATAGAGTTAGAGATCGCGTTTGCGGCGTCAAATGTGCGACGAAAAATTAATCTCTTTCTTTCTCTCTTTCCCTCTCTCGCTTTCTCGCGCGCGGAATCGCGAAGCGTTCCTCGGGAGCTCCTTCTTCTCGCGGACTTTGCGAGAATTCCTCCGATTTTCAAGTTCCTCGTTCGACAGAACAGCGCGAAAATTGTACGTCGCGATACGCATCCTTCGGATCCTCTACCCGCGTCCGTGCAAGTCGGAATCGGCTAAATACCCGCCATCGATCCCTCGCACAATTCATTTAATTATTTCTCGGAATTGGAACGCTGTTCGACGTTGCTGTCATAGCTTGAAAATAGATACGAGAGACTGAAATGTATTTAGAGACGTAAGACATCGCGAGAAACTTTTTGGCATATCACGCAGCGCCAAATTTGTTGCATTCCGAAAACAATAAAGCCAATCGTTACACCACCAATAATATACATATATATACGTATGTATAAAATTTATAAATTCTTTGAATTTTAATGTTTTAAATTCATTCTGTACATCAATAATTCAAATTTTAGATTCGAACATTTTTTATTTTTTTATTTTTTTAAAAGGAGAAACTGATCTATTTTCCATAATCTCACAGCGTGTGATCTAGTTTCGAGAATCAGCCGCGAGATTAAAAAAAGAATCGGATCCATGCGAGACGCGAGATGCGAGCGACGTACGAGTTCCGCGCTGCAATGAGCAACGAGCTCCATCATGTCATATCATCACACGTTTGTACATTACGTATCGTGCTCGCGCTAGGAAAGATTCTATAAATGCGGAGCCTACGTAAGTCGGGAAGGGGGGAGGAAGAAAAAGAATACCCGCGGGAGAGACATTTCGTTCATGTCCTCCTGACAGATATCGATCACTGAAATTTACGGCAACACGATCGGATCGTTTAACTCTCTGTCGGAGCGGCAGATTCTTGAATAATTACGTGTCGCTCGTACTCGAGTGACGATCGACGTTCGAATCGATCGTTTTGACCCCGGGATGAATCGCGAAGAGTTAAACGATGTTCGTGGACTCGCGCGTGTGCAGGATGTTGGGTTATTTTAATAGCTGAGACGCGAAATACGAAAAACCATCCCTTATGCCTATTTCTTTTCAATTACGTCGTGCACAGGGTGTTGCAAAGTCCCCCGGCAATATTCCTTGAAAATGCCGGAACTATTCTTCGGTCATTTTATTCCTTTTTTAGTTGTACTTTTTCTCTCCTTCTCTTCCTCCCTCTTCAAAAACGCAGATGGTGCTATTCTTGTTTCATTTTAAATACAGAAAAAATGCAACTAGAAAGACCGGAGTTTGCTTCGTAGTGACGGAAGGTATACAGTGAAAACCGATAGTCGCATCTCCCCCTTTTGCCCGTTTTGCGATCTGGAAATTGCGGGTTTATCGAAAATATTTTCATCAGTGTTCCATTACACTTGTGCGTCCACCAGTGGAATAAAAGCCCGTATTCTAGAGGCACATTTAGCGTCGCAAACGTGGCCGTCCCCTTCTCGTCCCTCTTTCTGTCTTTCTCACACCACACACACACACACACACACACAGACGCATGCACGCATGTACACGCACAGAATTGCGTTATAAATGTTATATCCATCCTGAGCAGATTGGACAAACGTGATGCGACAATCGGACGGCCAAATTTACGCCTAAATTTGCGACGAAATTACGAGCCGAATCCAAATTAACAAAGAAATTATCATGTCGCCAATAAAAAGATTTTCCATTTCGCTCTTTTGCAAAGTAAGAGATTCAGGCAACCGCGACGTACATACATTGTTCCGCTCGTTCTTCCTCCGCGTAAGTATCGTGCAAAACTTTGTATTTCGCAAAGTCGCCGTTGTATACCATCCGCCTTTGCAACCCTCTGTTCGCTCGCGATTCCAAGTCGCCCTGCTCGTGCCCTCGCACATCTCGCGGAATGCCTCTCGTCGTTATTTTCGCACAACTTACCGCAAATCGAAATTAAGCGCAAATGAGCGAGAGGGAGGGAAGGAAAGTCCGAATCCATACGAAACCGATTGAAGGTGGGATGTCAAGAAATGCGGGTCAGGACGCGGGATGATTGGTTAAAATTCATCGCTCGGCGGTTTGTAGTTTTACAGACACAAAATGCGCTTACGCTAATTATTACTCTCTTTTTCCGCGATCATTCAGTACATCGTCGTCGTCGTCGTCGTCGTCGCAGTGTAGTCGCCCGGCTCCGTGCATATGTCTTTTACGAAACATTTAGTTTATACATGTATGTATGTATATATATATATATATATATATTTTTATACATATATCTTTACAAACAGGAAACGATCAGACGATGGGACCCGCGGGTCTCGCGCGGCCCGAGAACACCGAGCATTACCTCACATAAAGTCGCGAAAGAACGACTGGACAGAGCTTTGCCTCTCATTTGTCTCTCTTATCGAACAATAAAATGTCTCTTCCGTACGCCTTACGCGCTACTCACGCAACCGAAAAGTCAAGGATACCTTATTTTTTTTTTATCTTTAAGGAGACACCAGGTGTATGTACAGTTCCCGCACAATTGCATTTAATTGCGTTTAAGGATGCACTTTTTTGTAAAATACAGTAATATTCATCTTTGCGCTCGCTCTCTCTCTCTCTCACACACTTTCTCGCTTTCTCTCTCTCTCTCTTTCTTTCTCTTTCTCTCACTCTCTCTTTCTCATCACGTAATAGTATTATACTCCTTAGAGATTTCTCTTCATATTTCTCTCTCATCTCTTTCGCAGAATTATACAATAAAATATCACAGTTCTGTTCGTACCACGCAATAATTAATATATTGTTTTTCCTTATGTCGCTTATACGCGTCCTCTCTCGCTCTTTCTTTCTTACTTTCTCTCACGCAACATACGCTCCTACGTACACGCACATGCGTTCTTCTTATCAGTTGCCTTCCTCGTCACACGCATTTTTTCTCCTAGGAGTGCGTTGTAACACAGAGTAGTGCACGCACACAAGCATACATACATAAATACATATACACACACATATTCATGTACATATATAAATATATATGTATATATATATGTATATATATATTTATTTATTTATTTCCTCGCTTTTCCTCTCGACGACTAATGGTTACGCAAGGTATGCTGGTTGTAGAAACATTCATTTACAACTTTTGTATACTTGAAGTATATAGTAATAATAATAATAACTATATTTACCGAAAGAGAACGATATATAAAGAGTGAGGTTGCGAAGCCTTTTCCCTCGAAGATGGTATTAATCTGATGGATCTCGTTGCTATGAATGTCCGCGTATACAGACGCAATTTAATTAAAAGAATATACAATATACGTACAGTTTCTCGATCCCGCTACGAGATCGTGTAGTATACAGTCTCTATCTTATATACGCTCCTTATTAAATCATTCTAATAATGCAAATGTGTGTCCTCGCTATACGCAATTTGTCCCGAAGAGAGAGAATGTCGATATTTCTCCGTTTTAACATCTAGACACGCGGCGGATTGACGCGGACTGTAAAATTATTGCTTGGAATGCGAAATTTATTTGCGTTACAAACGATCGACATCCGCTCGTCGACATCATCCGTTAACCCTATCGTTTCCCGTGTCGATAGACTTCGTGTGTGTGTGTGTGTGTGTGTGTGTGTATGTCCCCCTCCCTCTCCCGTGCTTTCTTAAGTATTGCTAAAAGAGTGTATTATCTTTCCTTTCTTTTTTTTCGCAATCTCCCGAAAGATCGTTGTCATTCGAAGGAACTAATCGCGCGCGCGAGTAGCAAAGTACAACTTCGTCAATCGGTATGTCTCGGTAATTTTCTTCGGTTTTATGAACATCGCTTTTTTTCCCTTTTTTGTTTCTTTGTCATTTCTATCATTCCCCCCGAGTCTTTCGAAGCACTCTCTTTTTCGTATCGCGGAAGGATAGATGAGAAATTCCCTTTGACCTTAGTATGTCGTAACGCACGATCCCCCTCCTTGCCCTTGTATGTATACACGACGAAAGAATAATTGGACGGCATCTGTGTGTCCGCGAAGTGTGTTCGCGCGGCGCGCTGGAACCGAGTGCGCTCGAGTGTCTCGCGAAAATTTATCGTGATCGAACGTAAGAAACGAGAGACAGAGGATTGCGACAGAGAATCAGCGAAGGATGAAATGATTCGAGCGGCGTGCAACGGAAACGAAACGGCGCGCGACCGAGGGGAGAGTCGCGGTAATGATTAGCGACTCGGGGGGGGGAGGGAGCGATTTTCTTTAATCCTTGCGATCAGCACAGAAGCGACAAGTTACGTACGGAAAAAATGCCTTACACGTGCCGTTTCCATTTTCGTTAAATTAAAAAAAAAATCTATGTTTCATTTTATTAATGTACCACCTTTTGACGAAACAAATAGATAAGTTATTCTAGTTAATAAGGAGAAAGTTCACGCCCATTCCACGAAAAGAAAACGCGCTGAAAGCGCTAAGAGTAAAATCCATTTTCTGAAGACTCGATTTATCCTTTCATCCGTAACTTGTGCTTCATAATCCGTAAGTACGCGCAAGCGTACGCGAGTAAGTATGTGAGAGAAGAAAACAATAATCCCATTTTTTTTAAATAATGTATTTTAACAATAGTTTTTTAAAAGAAAGGCATCAATAACAATTCTTGCACTGTCTCGGTTTAAATGTGTCATCCTTCGAATAAAAAAATAATTTATAGCAATCGAACAGTTAACGAAGAGATCATGTACCTATGTGTACTTACGGATTAATGCAGATTAAATTTAGAGCCGCGGAAAGACACCTCGTCCTAACGTGCATTTCAACATTAAATATTTCTAAAACATTAATGCACAATGGACGAGGTATATATACCTTCTTGTTTCGCATCGTTCAATGTTCTTCGCGAAATTGTCAGTCTATAAAATCCGATAGATAAATGTCGCCTTTCAAAAATTAACAATCACTGGTGCAAAGTACGTGGAGGTACGTCTCAAACACAATGGACGAAAGGAGGGATTCGCTGTATGATAAGAGAGAAGGGAAAGGCCAAAACAAAATTTATATCCTTTTGTCAGAAAGCAGAGAAACAAAATAATTCAGCATCACATATATCGAGAAACTCTCCTTTGCCTTTATTTTAACACGTGACAGTTTATTAAACGAAATAATAATAATAATATTATTAATAAAATAATAATAATAATAATAATATAATCAATGAAACTAAGGATAGGCAGAAGAAATCACAATTAAAGCGCGGGGTCGGAGTTCCTTATCTTGCATCTGTCCCTTGTTCTCATCGCGAAACTATTCTTATTTCATTTCCTACGTATCCAATCGTAATCAACACGTGATGGGTAATCTGTCTATCCTTTTCTCTGCATTTCAATCGATTATATATATATTTTTTATTCCATTGTCAACTTTTTTTGTCGGGATGTATACGCACTCGAGGTGATTTCTTGATAATCGCGCGCGTACGCGCGTAATTATATAATACGTTTGCCTATTCTTTCTGTTCTTTTTCATTTTTTTCGCGTTGACTTAGTTTTTTTTTTCTGAAACATCCAGAGATAGCGGGTTTGCATGCCGTATTGCAAAGGAGTTATCTGCTACACGCAGCAAGAAAGTGGATCTACTTCGAACGTTTTTTTTTTCTATATGCTTTACCCCTCGCCCCTACTCTCGTTCATTGTCCTATCATTTTCTTAATAACAACGTAATAGTTTTAAACAACTTGAGCATAGGTAAAGCGCGAACGTGACCTCCACGCGGGGTTCCCTCTCGCCGACCTGAAGTCGCGATTACTCTCGACGCGAGTAAAAGAAACCGGAAATAAATTGGCACCGTAGACACCGTCTCGCCCGTAAAAATCCTACGCCGACAGTGATGGAAATAAGAGTGAAATGTGTATATACGATTAAAAATGCAAAAACTCAATGATCAAGCTCTTTTGTATTCTTCTGCGAACAACAACGTAACTTCGATTGAAAACGATCGGTCATGCGGGAACCCCGTAGGAGAGCGCGTCCAACGCCATAACAACAAATTATCTACAATGGTCGCATATACATGTTCATCTTTCTCCCTTTCTTTCCCTACCTCCTTCTTCCTCTTTCTCTTCCTCACGCGCACACGCATACGCACGCAACAGATTATACATAAGATTACTTAGATATTAGGAAAGGTACTTAGAATATCTTCATTATTAGAGTCTGTTTTTTCTTTTACCTTACACACCTACTAAATATCGGTCAAAATATTAATCAATTTATAATAATAATAATAATATTAATAATAATAATAGCAATAGTAATAATAATGCAAATAAAAATAATATAATATAATAATAATGGCCGAGATGACAATAATGATGCTGATAAAGACGATGACGCTGGTGATGATAATAATTATTTTCTTTATTTATGTATTTGTATATATACGTATATGCATATATTAATCCGTTAAATTAATATATGAATATACTTTTTTTTTGTTTATTTATATAGCACCTATTTACAAAGAGGTCTCCGTGCGGCTCTCTTACAGTATGTGCGTGATGCTTTTATATATTATATATCTATATATACATATATATACTCTTCATAAAATATATATACATATATATACATATATATATTGTGTCCGTATATATTTCTAAACGAGATTCTCGTGTGTCTTTATTTATATGCCAGTCTTCGCGGTTTTTTTAAATAACGTTCTTCTCTTCATTATAACTTCGTTACTACTGGCGCTTTCGCATAATTCTGCAAAAATGTTTTCTCGACAGTGCGAAATACTTTTCGCTCATTTTTTTTTCGTATATCTGCCTATCCGTTTTCTTCCGCATATACGTCAAGATATAATGTTCGCATGTACCTTTTGTCATATCGTACCTAATCCCTTATCTTATCAGTCCGCATATTCCGTATATTTCCTTTAAGTATATACTTGTCTCCGTAACAACGATTTGCTTTGTAAATTGCGACGAAATCTTAAATTAATTAAAACTTAGCGGTCACAACGCGCGTTACAAGAGATATTTATTTTTAACAAAACTGCAATTTTAACTAAACTGCAAATTTTTACATTTTTTATATAATCATATATAGTATGTTTTTTTTTTAAATATAATCCAGCGCTCTTGGAATATACGTAGTAAAAAATAAGGAATGTAAAGTGAAGGGAAAGAAGTAAATGAAACGAAAAGAATAAAAGAACTAAAAAAAAGTAGAATAAAATAATTATGTAATTAATCTTGGAACTTAGAACATCAATTGATGATAAATTCAGAATATTTCTCGTGAGAATAACGTAAAAAAATAATTCCTGTTAGATCGTCCAAAACGATTGGATAAGGTAAAGTGATAAGAAATACAGAGCAGGGAATGTGTCGAAAATTACCGGTGTCAAAGAACTTACAATTTGGAGCAAATTTATTAAAAACTTTTTTACTCTCTCTTTCTCTCTCTTTCTCTTCATATAACTCTTCTAAAAATATAAATATCATTGGTCATTTATAAACGGAAGATATGAGAATCCGATCTTGTTCACAACTAAAATCTTTTCTGATAAACTGAGGAGGAAACCAGTTCGCAGTTCATCGTCAACACGTCATATATACTTTCTAGCATTATGAAAGTGTATCGTCCACCATTCGAATACAAGTTAATCCATGATCGTGCTCCACTTTATCATTCAAATGTCAAGCTTTAAACGACCGGCGTCAGATCGTCTGGATTATATCGCAACGAATGCGTATTGATGGAACTTTCTAGCACGTAATTGGCACGCATGATTATTGGCGGGGATTAGCGCACGCTGAAAAGCGTGGAGAATCGGCGAACAGTCGAGTTAAATCGATTGTATCCTCGACCGACACAGAGATTAAGATTTTTCAGTTGCGGGAAAACAACGAACGGTTTCTTGATGATCATCGATCGGCGATCAATATCGATCATCAATAATTAGACCAGTATGCAAAGACGTAGTCTCTTCGAGGAAACTACGTCACGTCAGTCTTATTATATCAAAGGAATGTAAACCAAGGTTTCCAACGTGTTCTGCGGTTGCACTGCGAAATAACACGAAGTGTATATAATTCCGAACTTTGATTAAATATCGGAAACGATGAAAATTAAACGTGCTAAATGTGCCTTCAATTTCGATAACGATCGAAATATTTGAATGCAATCTATAAAAAAAAAGTTAGAAAAGAAATAGTTGTTGGAATCGTCAATCCTGCAGTTTCCAACTTCGGTTTATCAATTACAATTATCAATTCGAATATTTATCGGCGATCAAAACCAATGGAATAGTTTTAATTGAAATGAATATGTCCTTTCATGCATGTAACAATGGATTCTTGAGATTGACCAATATATATAATGTAATATAATATAATAATATATATTATATATCATATATATAATATATGATAACATAAGACATGCAAGTCGCATCCTAATTGAGTTATGCATATACGGAATGAAAAGGATCAGAGATAAGATAAGATAAAAAGGAAAGAAGAGATAAAAAAGGGGGGATAAGGGAGAGCGTTATAATCTTTTTATAAGTTGTCGAAAATAATCGATTTTCGAGCATACATCGACTTTCATCTCGTATTTCTTATCCGTTTCCCGGCGATAATTTCCACACTATACGCATTAATCTACAAGATCACGATAAACGACAAGACCCTGTCCTTCTTACATACATACCTGTTTACGCGTGTAAGACCAAAGCAAAGTAGGAGCTTTACTCGCGGTAGGGGATTTACATACACCAATGTGGTGAATAAATTAGACGGGTAAAGAGATCACGGAGAAGAAAACGACCGAGTTGCGATGAAGAGCCAGCGTCATGACGTGCCACGTAGAAAAGCAGAAGAAAAAGGATAGTTTGCGGAGCGAGACGGAGAGAGCTTCGCACAAACGCGCTTTCCGAGCAGTTAATCTTCAAAGAACAGGCAGAATTACTGCTTCTCCTTGAGACCGCCTAACAGCGAGTGGCTCTCCATCGTGGCACTAAGATTACTGAGATTGCTCAGATTCCCCAAATTCCCCAGGTTGCCCAGGTTGCCGAGATTCGGCTGGTGAGCGTAGTTCCTAATCTGGTGAAGACTGATCAGCTGATTCGGGAAGGACGTGGCGTTCTGATTGCTGGTAGTGCCGGGCGTCACCCCGGACGACGAGGACGTTGGCGAGGACTTCTGCGTTGGGTTGAACGCCTCGTAGAGGTACGGCCGGGACGCCGGGTGATGGCTACCGGGGTAGTGCAGGTGATTCAGCGGATTCAACGGGTGCTGCATCGAGGAGATCGAGTTGATCGAGATCGACGATATCGGCGTGAAGGCCGAACTGCTGTTGGGATGATGATTCGCGCCCGGTTGCGGCGTCTGTTGCCTCGAGTCGTTCTCTATGGACTCACCGGCGCGATGCCCGTGTCCCGGCAGCAACATCTCCGGGTTCTGATTCTGATGGTATTCGGTGTGATGGTGCGGCAGCCTCTCGTGCAGGTCGCCGATCACCGTGTCCGGGCTGACCTTGGGCCAGTAGTGGTCCTGATGGTGGGCGGTCATCGCGTGTATCGACGGCCTGAGGCCGGTGCCGATGATCGGCGGTCTCTTGTCCGTTCTTTCCGCGTGCTTCTGCATATGCTTCGCCAGATAGGTCTCCTGGGTGTAACTCTTACCGCAGTACTGGCAGATGTGCGTTTTCAGGTGCTTCGACTCCTTGTGCTTCGGTATGTGCTCGAGCAGACTCGGCTCGTCGGAGAAGCACTTGTAACAGGAGTTACACTTGTACGGCTTGTCGGTCTGGTGGCATCGGGAATGGCTCTGTAGGTTGCTCAATTGGCTGAACGCCTTCGTGCAGCCAGGATGCCGGCACTTGTACGGCTTGTCGCCGGTGTGCGTGCGGATGTGCTGCTGTAGATGGCTCAGCTGGGTGAACTTCCGTTGGCAAATCTCGCAACGGTACGGCTTAATGCCCAGGTGGATCCTCGTATGCTGGGAGAGGTACGAGGAATTGGCGAACGCCTTGGAGCACTGCGTGCACTTGTACGGCTTCGCCTCGCGCATGTGAATCTGCGTGTGAAGCTGCAGATCCGCCTTGCTACCGAATATCTGCAAAAAGAAAACAATACTTTGATGTCAAAGAGAGAAAGAAAGAGAGAGAGAGAAACATACAGAGAGAAAAAGAGTTAAAAAAGACAGTCTATTATACACGAGTGTGAACGAGAGACGAAGAGATGACTCGTAATCGATCTCAGAAACTCGCGCCGGTCGCTATTGAAAGGAGACTTCGTGCTTCCTTATCTAAAATGCAAATTAATAACTTCCTGCGCGCACGTGACACACAACGCACGGGACGGGAGCGCACTTCGGACTGGCGAACGTTCGTTTCTGCATATATTGCGACAATATATAACAGAATAATATGAGAGACTAGAGAGAGAGAGAGAGGTGGGAAAAGGATCTCGGTTGGGGAACGATCCTCTATTGCCGCGCCGACGACGTACACTTCCCTCTTCGTTTCCACGCCGCGCTAACCGGACACGTCGCGCCGGTATATTTATAAATAAATAAATAAACGTAAAAAAGAAGAGCACTGCCACAGTAGCTCGAGCGTATATACGCGTGAGGCGGGGAGAGGCTGACCTTGTCTATCACGGCCTAGCCTCGGGGCATATCCGACCGACTGGCTTCGGGTACCGCATAGAGAGAGAGAGAGAGAGAGAGCCCCCCTCTCCTCCACCACCTCGTATACTCTAGTATCCTCGCTCTCTCCTTCCTTCGCCTTGCCGCCTCGCGTTGTCTCCTCCTTTATCCCCCTTTCGGCCCCCATCTCATTCGCCGGTTCCTCGCATGCTAGTTTCTAGTTCCTCTGATCTCATCTGACTTCTTTTTTTTTCTCCTTTTTCGTACCTCTCTCCGCGACAGCGCGTAGAACAGGACAAGCCGACGATCGACGATTATTAGCATCTACAGCCTTACTATCCTTCTCGGTCGCGCAAGACGTTTGTCGCACACGTTCGTCGTTATCACTGCATCTCGTAATACAATTCAAATGAATATTTATTTCGACGTATATCAATCCGCGCGGTTGAGACTTGTGATTGTCGCGCCATTACCGTACTTTCACAATTTTTTAACGCCGCGCCATTTCGTAATCGGACATCCGCTTTAATTCTAATTGCGCTGCAATCTTATTAGAGCGATAATATTTTCCAATATTTTCCGATTTTATCACAAGCGCGATTAATTGCTCAAACGTGACGCAGCAGCACTCGTCGATGTTACACACGAGTCCCCGCGTCCGCCCGGGATAATCGCGCGGTGGTGCAACCCTCGCCGCTATTTTCGACCTCGAGAAGTTCCTACTTTCTTTCGAAATTTCCGTCCCGTCCACGGTGTGGGTCGCTAATGCCGCTAAAACGTCTCATTCATCCGTAATGACGTGCGCGTGCATCATTACCGGAATAATAACGCCGGTCACGAGATGATCCGTGATGCTCCGAGGTAACGATCGTGCGCGGGGTTTATTTCGGCTTCGTGGAAAGGGCAGTGGAATTGTCTTCCGACGCCGCGGCGGACGAGAAGGTATCGCACCGGAATGACGTGTCGGAGAGTCGAAGAAACGATCCTGAACACGCGAGCGAGCGACGGCGCGGACGTGGCGGAGCGAAGAAGCCAGTTTCCTGGCTTCGTTCGCCTCCGTTCGACCGAGGTTATTACGTAAAACGGCGGGTTCCCTTTCTGAAACCGTCGCTCGTGTATTCGCCATGCCCGGGGATCTAGGGCGAGGGATCCGGGGTCCTTCGCGTGGCCAAGGGGCCCTCGAGCCCTCGGAAAGGATGACCGACTCCTCGTTACCGCCGCGCCGCTCTCGATGAGGGCTCGTTATTTCCAGCTGGAAAACTTCGGGATCTCACGGTTCGCGTAAACAATAACTCACTTCGGAACGATTTACGCAACCTCTCTCTCGATTAGTCTGTATAAAGGACGGTGAAGCGAACAATTCACGTTTCCATTGTGAATTAAGTTGCATTGAAAGATGTTTAATTACAGATTTCTTGAATTTCAAAGTTGCTGTAAAACATTTTAAATCCTTTTAACACATAATGCAGTAGACACAAAGGACACGTATAGACTCGCATGGATTTTTATAATTTTTACATCTTCGCGCGCTATTTAACAGAAGCAGGAAGAGAGCGATAATCCAAGCACGCTAACGGCAAGTCGGTTAACGATCGCTTTACGGTTGTCGTGGATCGTGATTTATTCGGTAATCGATCGACGGTCTCGCTCGAGGCTTCAACGGCTGACTTGGCGCGTCCTTTAACGGGTTGGAGCTGCTATTTTTTTTATTTCCTCCTTTCGAAACACGTCCTTGCCGGTGTCAAGTTCGTGCATAGTCCACGTAACGCGATAGTCTGTGTTGCGCGTCATTCTCTTCTTTTCTTTTTTCCTTTTCGCTCCTTTAGCGCGGCAAGCAAACGGCGAGTCTGAGGGGCGCGAGAACAATTAGAGGAGGCGAGAGGAGAAGCACTATTTATATTATCGACATATAAATTATTAAATCGCAATTATAGTGTCTGCTTATATTTAAAATAAATTATTTGTGGTGTTCCCTCTTTGCAAAACCACTGTGCAAAGATTTCATGATTCTATTTACGATATTTTTATATGATAATTAATTCTTAATTGTTGTTAAAATAAGGAATAATGAGAGAAATAAAATCAAATAGAGCCGTTCTTCAGATCGGGACATCAAAGCGATAATTTCATCCTTCTCCGTCTGTTGAATACGCAGTATTCGCGCAAACTTGGAAACAATATAAGGTCGACAAACTTATAAGTAAATTCTGGCTTCGCCACGCATCATTACATGTGTTAGAATGAGGGATTAGCTTTAGTCAAGGTTTCTCCTGTCGCGGAATAAATCATCCATGTTGTGGAATACAAATCACGCCAGTTCGTATCAATGGATCGACAAATCAATGCTTCTAATTGATAGACGTTAGACCCTGAGATAATTGCTCTGCAAACTGCTCTGCGAAATTTATTTAAAATAAACGAGACGAAGTACGCCATGAATCCTAATAAAAATACTAACGAAACTCCTAAAAGTGGGCGATTATATAAGCTTCTCGCGGTCTGCAAATTAAATTTTATCTCTTCTATTCGTTGATTTAATTGCGAAATGTTTGAAAGAATCGGAGGAAAGGCCGCTGATTGGCAGACTAAATATTCGCGTATATGGATTCTTCTCTGCGAGAACTTGGAGAAGAGATCTCTCGCCGTTCAAAATGGACTTGATTCAATTAAAGAATTTCTCGATGAAAATCAACGGCGGCGCCAAATAAAAATTGGCGGTTATAATTGACAGAAGGCAGTTTGGCCCGATCCGCGGAGATGCGAGCGCGACTTATTCGAGCAGAATTTGAAGGAAATTTCGTTGAAAGAATCTCCGGATTATACGATTAAACGTGAATTAATCTGTAACGCGAACGGGACGCGACGCGCGAAACGAGCGCGCGCTGTGCGCGACGGCTCCGAAGTAGTCCTGCTGAATTAAATCGGACAGCCGGAATCTCATGCCTTCCGTCCCTTCCCCCCTCGTTCTCCTCTCTCGCGCGAGAGATGCGCCTTCAAGAAAAATAATAGCGATAAATCCAGAAATTACGTCGGTCAGACACTGCGCGCGCAGGTATGCGAAATTAGCGCCTCTAATTACGAAACCGGCGAGGAACTCTATGCCCGCCGGGCAACCGGCTAGTCCTCCTGTCATTTCTGATTAATCGACGTCGATTTACTTAGGCAATACTTAAGAACCCGAGACGAAGTACATTTGCCGCGACGGCGCGGCGACCGACGCAGCCAGGTGTATAAATCGTATATACACCGGGATCATCAGCAGGATTTTAGAAGCGCGCGCGCGCCGTGTTAAATTCTCGAATTGGAATCGAGCCTTCTTAAACGGTTCTCTTAAACAAAAATCGGTTGATGAGGTCATCTCAGATCTCAGCCGCGATGCACACGTAAGTCGTAAGTTTCGCGTTTCTCCCGATGAAATCGACGATTAATTATCACGTATTCGCATCGCATTCGTGGCCAACGGCACAATCGACATGTATTCATCTCGCCGTATCCGAGAGTTCAGGACGGTATGCGATCGTATGCGTATATACGAGAGAATTTCGTCATTCGACACGCGGCCCATAGAGCTCCGTAGCGTTATACTCCGTGATGGATGACGGTCCTTCGCATCTAGTCTATGTATATTTGCCGTTCCGTTTCCTCCTCGTCTGGTTCTTGAACCTCCGCGAAGTAGTCTACGAAGTAGCCTCGGGGCCAGATCTCGTAAATTCAATTTAAATATTTCGACCTTAATGATCGTCGGACGACGACGACGAGGAGAGGAAGGCAAAGCCGACAGTCAAGGTCGGCGTCCGATAAAAGTACAATTTAATTGAGCAATTGGCAATCTCCTACTTATTGCGGATATATCTCTCTGCAATTTTTATCCTTCTCCTCTATTTTTAATAAGTTCGTTTCGAGGACATCGAGAGAAGTATCCGAGCGGACTAACGAGATGTGCCAAGTTTAGAAAAAAAAAAATCTTTTAAATTTCCAAGTCCAAAGGTATCTGAAAACTTTAACATTCGTGATCCTGTCGAGCTCACGTGTGGTTAACAATTCATTTAACATTTCGATTACCCAAACACAATGAATATGTTAAATAACGTGTTAATGCATAATTCCGAAATTCGTTTCAAAATACAATATAAATTGAATATGATATATATGCACACGTGATTGAATATATTTATTGAATATGCGCGATTTCTTTCACGAGGGACGAGATGTTTCAGTACCGTACGATCTTTTAGAGAACTTCTAAATTTCAAATAATGTAATTTATGGATTTATACGCGCGATATCATGCGCGTTGAAATTGATTTGCGTCATCGTGCTCGTAAGATAAAGACACATGTATGTGTCTTTCACAGCTTTCCCTAGTAACGTTACTCACAGAGCATGCCGGAATTTATAAAATACCCGATAAGCCGAAGTCAAAATAAAACTGCCGAGATAATTAATTTTATCGAAATAAAAGGCTT